GGCGCGCCAGGATCATCGACATCTCGCGAGTGCCGGCATCTTGCATCACCCCGAATATCGCTACGACCGGGTCCTTCACATTCAAGATAAATCCCTCCCCAGCGTCGGGCTTCTGGCCATGAGACCCCGTCACAGACCCACGGAAGAGCCACCCCCGGCCGATCTATCCAGCGCCGTCGTGTTCGTTGTCACAGGTAAGTTCTGCGGGAATTTGACTTGGGGCTCGGGCTCGGGCTCGGGCTCGAATTGTGAAACTGATATGCGGCCAACGCAGGAGCGCCCGGCGCCGGCAAGACCACCGTCGCCGTCGACCTGGCCAAGGACGAAGAGCTCGGCTACCTGGAAATCGACGCCCTCGTCGAGCAAGAGGAGCGCAGGCTGAGGTTCCGTCTTTCGAAACCGGTCCCCGACGGCGAGGGCGAGCACAAGATCGTTCCGAGCGCCGTGCTCTTCAGCCTCATCAAGCAGGAGATCGCGGAGCAGATGGCCGCCGACGTGTACGAGTTCGTCATCGACGGCCTCGTCATGATGCCGGCGGCGCATGACTTCTTGGATCGAGTAGGGTTCACCACCCCACAGGACCGGAGCTTGTGCTAACGGGTGGTGGGTGTGTAGTGCTTCAACTTCCAGCACACCCTGCTGCTGCACGCCGACGCCAAGATCCGCTTCTCCCGCTGGTCGTGTCGGCGCTCGATGCTGAACGGGCCTCGCATCTCCCGTGCACAGTACGACCGTGCCCGCCACAAGTTCTTCCGGAATTCGCAGCCCTTCCTGGTCGCCGATAGGGTTTACCTCTCCGAAGCGCATCAGGGCCTCACGGAGTCCACACGCATGGTAGGTGTGCAAGCAATCGGGTTTTTGGAAAGAAGATCGGATGACTGATGATAATGCGGCCATGGTCGTAGTTTGACACGGGTGAAATGCCTCAAATGTATTGGTATCCCAGCCTTCGTCGCTGCGTTCAAGTGAGTTTCTTGCCCCAGACTCAGAGACGTGGTATTGATCCTTTGGTAGCAGGTGCTTATTCATCAAGCAGGGAGATACCTCGATGCCATGATTGAGGCGGAGAATTGAGGCACCGGGCGAGGTTCAGGGTCAGAAGCGAGATGTGTAGTGTGTGATGACTGACGTTGTTCTTCACTGCTTATTGATCTAGTCCTTTGGAACTTCTGGCTGTATTGGACTGCAGTATAGCTGTGCCTGTTTGTATTTGCGATGAGGGGGATGGTGCAAAAGAAAGGAAGGAGATTAAAGAAGTGTTGTTAGTGACGGACTTCAACTGAGTTAAATCCCCGGTGCTGACAAAGCCCAGACACTGAGTCCCAAGCGTGAGGAAACTATGGACAAGATCATTGCAGATCTCAAATCCCAATGCATTCTTAGTAAACAAGGTTGGAAGCACATGGTAATCATGCAGATGATGAACTGAAAGAGAATGAAATGAAAATCGAACAAAGCACCCATAATATACAGAGAAATACAACTCCCAAAAGTCCACTCCAGCTAGCTGATCATGTCCAGTCCGCATCCTTTCTGGTGCAGGGTCTAGTGTGTGGAATTCATCGCTTCATCGTTGAACGGGCCTGCTGGCGCTGCTGCTCCAACAGCCTCATGTGCGCCTCGCGGCGGGCCCGGTTGCGCTCCTCGCGCTTATACTCCTCCTCTTCCTTTCTCCGCCTCTCGTAGTCCTCCGCCGTCTTGCGGTCCTTCTCGCTCAACCGCGGGGGCTGCGCCACCGATCCGTCCTCGTTCAGCTTGGGTCCCGTGCCACGGATCTCGTCGATCTTGCTGCTTGCCTCCTGCTTGATTTTGTCCTTGGACTGCTTGAAGTTTTGAATCGCACGGTCGATATAGCTCACCTGCTGCTCCGGAGCACGGACAGCGGCAGCGGCGGCGGCGGCTTCCCGCTGCTTAGCAGTTTCAGCCTCCATCATCTCACGGAGCATGCGAATGGGGTTCTTCTGCTCTTGGCCGGGAGCCAGCTCAACCTTTTCCACCTGGGCGATCCCGGCCCATTGGCGGAAAGCAGGCTTGGAAAGCAGGTACGCCTGGGTCATACCAACGAGACCGGTGCTCGTGAAGTACAGCTGCAGAGCCGCAGGGAAAAAGGCCATGAACATGAAGGAAATGGCAGGAAGGCCGTACTGCACCGCCCTTCCAATCTCGGTGTTCTGCATGGCGTTGCCTCCAGACTCTCCTCCTTTCTGTTGCGGGAGGCCGCGGTTAGCAAGCGTGCCTCGATCCAGGAGCGGAATGGGAGACAAGAACGAGTCATCGAAAGGTGGCAGCACATACCTTGAGGGAGAAGTACAAGAAGAAGGAGCTGACGGCGGGCAGGATGTAGAGGGGGTCGGCAATTGTAAGATCCTGGAGCCAACCAACATGCTCCGAGGTTAAAGCGGGCACCGGCAAGGAAGTCATGCCTTTGATTACCCGGTAGCACCCAAAGCCGAGGGGAATCTGGATCATGGGAATCATTGCCTTCCAAGGCTGGATGCCGTGCTTGGTGTGCAGCTCCTGCATGTCGGCCCGGGCCTTGTTCATCTCGAGCATGTTGCTCTCACGCGAGGCGGCCATCTGCTTGGCCCGGATCGGGGTCGTGAGGTGTTTGATGTTGTTGAGCTTGGTCGTGGCATTGGCAGCCTCGAGCGTGGGCTTCACCATGGCCAGACGGACCAGCAAACCAGTGCCGATAATACTCGCCCACCACGGGAGTCCCGAGTAGATGTGAACATGCTCGATGATCCATTCTATTGTCGAGGAGAAACCCCAGCCGTAGTCCAACCCCAATTCTTTCAGGTAGCCAATCTTCTCCGGGATCGTCGTGATGTCAATCTCCACCAAGTCTGGCACGGCCTCAACAACTTCGGGAGTAGGGACGACGGTAGGAGCGTCTGCGGGGGCGGCCGTGGTCGAATTGAAACGAGCAGCGGAGATAGCAGGGATGGCGGACGCAGACCGCAGCGAGGAAGTCTTAGCCATGGGCCGGCTGGACGCTCCATAGCGAAGAGCGTTTCTGGAGGCTTGCGGCCGGAATGAGGACATCTATAGGACCGAGTTAGTTAAACTGGGGGAGTTGGGGAAATTAGAGCGAAGGCGTAAATAAACTCACCGATCGACTAGAGCGCGAGAAAGCAAGCAATCGCTGGCGGGCAGTGGCAGGCATAGCGCCGCGGCCAGCAAGACCAGTTCCTCCCAACATGGTTGTTGAATTGAAATGCCGAGTTGGGGACTGGAGAGGAGACAATCGGAGGGAGTGACTGGACTGAGGGACACCTGAATGGGAAAATCGGGGCTCCGGCGACGGAGCGCTTTTTTGTTGCCAAGCCGTGTTTTTCTGCCGGGCGGCCGGAGGAGAAGAGGGCCAAGTGACCCAGCATCGTTGGCGGACAACCCGGTCTAGGATCAGAGCAACATTGACCAACTATTGTGTATCATGTAGCTATACTTGGTGTTGAGGGGTGAGTCCACAGTATTCGTATTGATCAGTCCATTCTCTTTGTGAAGAATATGCTACAGATTTGTCAAATGTATGAGCTTCGCCGGACGCCGTTTAGGTCAAGCCTATCAACTGATGCTTAGATCTATGTACACTAGAACTTCTCAACAAACGCGCGCATCCTGCGCTGCTTGCTTTGACAGATGAACTGCGCTCGGGAGACGGTTCCCTAGCCTACCCTGACGACCGCTTCACCGGTTTTAAGGATCTATAATGCTGCCTTCCCCAATCATCATCTACTCCAAGGACGTGGTGTCTTGCAGACCAGCAGCTCTAGTGCTCCGTCGCTGCGGGAGCTCGCGCACTTCAATGCCAGGTCCAGCTGGTCTAGATCGTCGATGCATAGGGAACACCTGCAATGATCGCGGGGTTAGCACATCTGCCGGTCAACATCGTGGAGAGGAGCAGGTCCGCCCCTGCCTCCCACGACAGGGGTCCACGCCTTCATACCTTTGTGCCGGACCAGCCTAGCCTGTAGGCAGCCTCATGTGCAAACAACTCGCCAAATCCCAACATCAAGCCGTTCACGAAAGGAAGCACCAGGTTGATCGCGGCGCCGCGCAGAATGCTCCAGAACGTCGGGGGCTTGTAGAGGATCAGAGGGGAGCTCGAAGTGGAAGAGGAATGCGAGGAGTCATCGTGGTTGGCGGAATAAACTTCGGAGTCCGAGTGGACAGTCAGTCCAGATTCGTAGAGCTCCCCGGAGTTGGAGAGGTCGGCGGCCATGATGCGGGGAGGGAGCAAGGTATATCAAACGGGGGGTATCTTAGGAGGAAAATATGGTAGGGCTGAGGTTTGTCCAAAACAATGATCTGCTCGCAGAAGTCAAATCAGTGGTTTCCGGTGGAGATGAAGGCCGACAAATCAACAGCCGAAGTGGACGGGGGTAGCTTGTAAGGTATCTTGTTGAGGTTGTTCAACGAGTGGATGGAATGAATGCTCCAATACACCTGACCTGCGCGGCGGTTATGTAAGCCGCAGAGCTGCTCACTCGTCAGTTGCGCAACGCCCAGCACCGATGCGTGTGAAACTGCCAAGGGAGTATATGATGCTTTGAGAATGGGAACTGGTAGTCTATAAGCTACAAATAGTATATAAGGTGCATGGTACTTCTACATGGCCGAGTTTACTGCGGAAGACAGTATAGTTATAGCTATCAAGACTGCTGACTGTTTCTGCCTGAGGCTTCAATGTGGAATCGATGAATAGACGGAAGATCCCCTCTTCCGGATGACCAATCAGGCAACAGTGACGTACCTCAGCTTGTCAGCTTGTCCTCATTGTTGTTTCCAGCTTCAACTAGGTATAGTAAAGCTACTACCAGTTGTATCCACTAGATCTCCTTCCTTGTTCCCAAGGCGCCTCCCGCCAACTATCACCTCTGTTGCATACTCCTGAAAATATCTGGACGATACTCTGTTTTAAGTGAACGAGTGACTTCATTCTCAAACCAATTTTCTCCGGCGCCAGCGACCTTTGCAGTCCCGGTTATATCATCAACATGGAGCACCAAGCAGCTCACGATGAGCTAGTATCCCAGTTCTGTGCTATGTCTGGCACTGATGCCGCAGTAGTATGCTTGTCCCTGAATTTTAGAGGAACTGGACTCCACACTAACGTCTACTTCTTACAGGCTCAAGAATACCTGGCGGCCAGCGAATGGGACCTCGAAGCCGCAGTGACCGAGTTCTTTGCCGAGCAGGACGAAGCTATGCAGGGCGCAAACACAGGCTCAGGGCAGCGCTTAGGAGCGGAAACGGGGCCAGTCGCCGGTCGCACACTCGGTGGGAGTTCATCCCAGTCTCCATCCACTACCCCGCAGCCGTCCTCGTCGCGCAGGACCGGACCGAAGAAGAGATTCGCGACGTTGGGCGATTTTGCCTCCGGGGCTGGTGAATCCTCGGAGGAGGAGGACTCCGTGAACCAGGATTTCTTCGCGGGAGGGGAAAAGTCTGGCCTCGCCGTGCAGAACCCGGACGACATCAAGAAGAAGATTATCGAGAAGGCCAAGAGGTGAAACCTGCCACCGGTAGCATGCCCAGAAGGAGGCTAACACTGTAGTAGAACTCAGCCGCCCTCCTCGGATGAACCAAGCAGACAGTCGCACTTCACGGGCACAGCACGTACCCTCGGTGGCGATGATGCTCCGAGCAGGGTAATCGAAGCCCCGAGCGCGCCCGCTACGCAAGTGCCGCAACGAGTCCAGAGAACGCTTCATTTCTGGGCCGACGGATTCTCCGTCGACGATGGCGAGCTGTACCGCTCCGATGACCCCCGGAACGCAGAGATCTTGGAGGGGATCCGACAGGGTCGTGCTCCTCTCTCGATCATGAACGTACAGTCTGGCCAAGAGGTGGACGTGGAAATCAACCAGCACGAGGAGAAATACGTCAAGCCAAAGCCCAAGTACAAACCCTTTTCTGGCCAGGGGCAGCGACTGGGAAGCCCTACGCCTGGCGTGTCGACCTCTGCCGCGGCCCCAGCCCCAGCTCCAGCTCCAGCAAGTCAGGCCTCAGAGCCACCTAAGCCTACTGTCGATGAATCTCAGCCCACCATCACCCTGCAAATCCGCCTTGGCGATGGCACACGACTCACGTCTCGCTTCAACACTACCCACACGATTGGGGATGTCTACGAATTTGTGTCTGCGTCCAGCCCCGCTAGCCAGTCCCGCCCGTGGGTCTTGATGACTACGTTCCCCAGCAAGGATCTTACGGACAAGGGTGCTGTCCTGGGGGAAATGGCCGACTTCAAGAGGGGCGGCGTTGTGGTGCAGAAGTGGCAATGAGCGTGCAATGAGGCCGTGGACTAGAAGTTATGCAATGAGCCAGGCGTAGATAGTCTCTGGAGGTCTAAAACTAAGAAATGAGATGAGATGATTCATGAGGATGAGATGATTCATGAACAATGGGGATGATTTAATGATTCTGTGTATTACTGAAGGTCAGATGAAAGCGGAATTTAAAAACTCCCGACCCTCGTAATAAATAAGAGCAAATTGCGAAGCTGAAGCTGAACCCGAGTATCTTTTCCGGCGTTCCTGTCGCCAAGCCCGATTGATAAGCAACCTCCGCGGAATGACGCAGAAAAAAAACGCGCCCGAAATCGGCCATCGCCATCAATTCCATTCATTCCCCCACCCGCTAAACAGGCTGTCTGCTCCTCCATTGATTCTCCGTCCATTCAGCAGAAAACAAGAAGATGCCTCTGGACGGAGTCAAGAACGTGGTGCTGGTGAGAGAACTTCCAATCCCTGTGCCTTTGCTGGAATATTTGCCCCTCCTCCTCTTATCGATAACGCGCAGTGGAGGGTCATACTCCAGCATACTCCAGCACACTCACCTGCGAACCTACTACACCCTCACTCCAGAAATCCTGCCCTCGACAACCCCAGCTTCCTGCGAGGATATGCGACTAACATCTCTGATCGGGAACAGGTCCTCTCCGGCAAAGGCGGCGTCGGCAAATCCTCCGTGACGCTGCAGCTGGCCCTGGCGCTCTCCCTGCAGGGCAAATCCGTGGGGATCCTCGACATCGACCTCACGGGGCCCTCGATCCCGCGCTTAGTCGGCCTGGAAGATGCAAAGATCACGCAAGCGCCCGGCGGCTGGCTGCCTGTTCCCGTGCATACCGCTGTAGATGCACCAGCCTCAGCATCGCCATCGCCACCTTCTCCTACCCCTACCACCACAACGACACCCGCTCAAGACCACCACCAAGAACCCACCACATCCACCCCCTCAAAGACCTCCTCCCCCTCCACCCCCCGCGGCCCACTACACTGCATGTCCCTCGGCTTCCTGCTACGCTCCCGCTCCGACGCCGTCATCTGGCGCGGCCCCAAGAAAACCGCCATGATCCGACAATTCCTCTCGGACGTCCTCTGGGGGGAGACCGACTATTTGCTGGTCGACACCCCGCCCGGCACGAGCGACGAGCACATCGCCCTCGCCGAGCAGCTCCTCACGCTGTGCAGCACCGGCCCTACCTCACCCTCCTCCGCCCCTCAATCCCCAGCGACGCAGGCAACGCCCCCCCGCCTCGCCGGCGCCATCCTCGTAACCACCCCGCAGGCCATCGCCACCTCCGACGTGCGCAAGGAAGTCAACTTCTGCGTCAAGACGCAGATCCCCACGCTCGGCGTAATCGAGAATATGTCCGGGTATACGTGTCCGTGCTGTGGGGAGGTGACGAATCTGTTTTCGAGCGGGGGCGGGGAGGTTATGGCGAGGGAGATGGGGGTCAGGTTTCTGGGGAGCGTGCCGGTGGATGTTGGGTTTGGGGCGTTGGTGGAGGGGAGGGGGATTGGGGCGGATGGGGAGGGGAGTGATCAGGAGGAGGATGCGGAGGAGGAACAGAAAAAGGAAAAGGAAAAGGAAAAGGTGGATGATGATCGGCCTTTGGTTGAGAAGTATCGGGAGGGGTGGTCGTATGCTCGGTTTGAGGGGTTTGCGAGGACGTTGATTGCGGAGATTGAGGGGTAGAATTCCTTGGTGGGCTTGGGGTTTGGGTTCTATAAACTTGTGAGGTGAGAAGTATATAGGTGGATGCATTTATCTTGTTCATGTTCATATATGATGTCCTTGTGTGTACGGTGGGAACGATACCATGGTTTCTGAGTCTGAGAAGACTGTCGGGGAGATTCGGTCTAGAATTGAAGATTGTCTGCATGTGCATGTGCATGTGCATTTGAACTTGTTTCCCAAATGTTGGGACTTGCAAATCGGATTGGAGTCATTAAATAGCATACAGTCGTATATCATCAATCATAGACAGAAAAACAGAACATTCAGCCATCATGGCCGTGGGCTGGCCGCTCCAGCATTGCCCGCAGCCTCATTTCTGCTGTCACCGGACTACGTCCATACTCGGCATCGTTCATGATATACCGGAGCCAGCCGAAGAGACTCCGCATATCGACCATCGAGGACGGTCGGGGTGTCCCCGAAAGGTGGTCTTCGCCAGCTTGCGCGGTTCCTACATTGCTTGTACTGAGCGGCCGACTGCGACGGGATGCCTCGGGAGGATAGTGGCTCTCGGCCTGCGCGTCCAGCAATGTCTCCGACACCAGTGCCGGTGTAATCATCTCGTAGGTCCGGCGTCGGGCGTCGTTCTTCACCTTCCTCCCCAGGAGACCTCGGCCACTGGCGCTCGACTTGGACGCGATCTCCCTGGTGGTCAGAAGCAAGTCAACCCCAGTCTCGCCATGCGCCGACTGCAAGGCTGCCGAGGATCGTGGGGTCGTGGGCTGAACCTGCAGCGATGCGCTGTCCGCGGGTAAGGACATTCTCGAGTGAGACCCCGTCCTCGTCGTCGTCGTCGCCTGTCGGAGTTGGCCCCAGTACCGAAAGGGCGGAGCGGAGTGGAAATCACGCCCGTCGGCAACGCTGTTATCGTCGTCATAGATGACAACGTCGTTGTCAGCCTGTCGCTCGTGGTCGGAGCTTGCTTCATCCACCGTCAACAGGCCGCCGGGCGGAGCGCGGATCTCGCCCAGGGGCGCGATATGGCTCCCGTACTCGTTGGCCAGGCTCAGCTTGCTGCGACCGCAGATCTCGCCGATGGCGTCGAGCGTGTGCCGGATATCGGGCTCGATGGCGCGCAAGATGCCATCGATGCTAAAATCCTCTTCGGAGGGGAGCGCCGGCGCATGAGGACGGCTGCTCGAGCGCGAAGAGAAGAAGAGGAATGAGCGCCGTGAAGGCATCGTGGCTGCAGTGGATGTCGCATTAGGGCTTTCTCCGGAATATGCTCGCACCAGCACGGGTTGAGACCCTAAGGTGGTGGTGGTGGTGTTGGTGGAGGAGGATGGCCGAGAGGTTGCGGGCCGGCCCTTGGCTGATAAGGGTCTGGCATAACCATTCAACTGACGGAGTGCAGTGGCACGATGTGCTCGAGAGGACCCAGCAGTCAGAGACAGGTCATCGTTGCGATAGGGATGATGCGTGGATGGAGAGGGTCGGACAGTCTCGACCACCGCAGACGAGGAGGTATGGGTATGGGTATGGGGGTGAATATGCAGAGGGCTGAGCTGCGACCATCGGCGGCGCGGGAAGGAAGACGACGAGGATGACGGGGCAAAAGAAGCACCCGTGTGGGTGAACAGCCTGTCTGAGTGAAGATCCATTGTTCCGGCCAGCCGATGACAAACAAAAATCCCAGCCAGTGTGGATGCAAGGCTAGACTAGAACGTGGACCGAAGGGGAGGAGGGGAGGGGAGGGGAGGGGGAGGAGGGGGACAACAACGAAAGGCGAGGATGACAACACCACCATCACCACCACCAAAAGCTACACCATCCTCCCCGAGGCGATGATCAACCCCACCTTACGGTCTCAACGCGCAGCTGAGACGGCGGCAGCGGCAGCGGCAACAGCAACAGCAACAGCAACAGCAACAGCAACAGCAGTGGCAGTAGCGGGGAGGACACAGACCAACGGCACGAGACACGTAGGTGGTTGTTCCAGCGCATCAGTCACTGGGAACACAACCACGCATGAGCTCCGCGTAACCCTGTAGTGTGGCTGTCTGAGACCATGATCGCCATCGCCATGACTCCCAAGCGTCGGATGACACGCTGATCAATGCGACCAGGCTAGCTTCTGCAAGACCAAGAGAAATGAAGATGGTTATGTACTGTATATACCGTATGTAGGCGTAGATGTAGATGCAGATGTAGATGTACTGTACAGTAAGTAGCAAACGCGGAAGTATAAGGTTGCTCTTCAATCGTTTACTCCCTCCGCTTAGAACCACCAACTGGTCAGCATGCCACCACCTGTAACTTACCTCTAACTACTCCGTAACTACCACCACCAAAGTAACTTCCGTACCTCTCCACTTCCTTCCCCTCTCTCCACTCTTCCACTCCCTCCCCGACTTCCCCAAAACATTGTTGTTTGTCAACCATCTGTGCGCGTCCTTCAGCCTGGCCTATATCCGACCTTACTTCCAGAATGAACAACTTCCGTGTATGCATGCATCCATCCATTTCCACCCACCTCCCCTCACCCGGGCTGACAATTCCATCTCCGCGGTAGTTTGGCGACTCCGACGAGTCGGCCTCCGATCTCGATGACGATACATCCGGCCTGCCATTCCCGGAACCTCTGTCCCGTGCCTCCTTTCTCGCACCGGATTTCGACCCCGCCACCTACCTCTCCTCATTGACCAACCGACACCAGAGCCTGGAAGACTTGCGACAAGAACTACGGGACCTCGACCAATTGCTCAGCCGGGAGCTGCTCGACCTGGTCAACGAGAACTACCAGGATTTTCTGTCGCTGGGGATCGCACTGCAGGGTGGAGAGGAGAAGGTCGAACAGGTGCGCGTCGGGCTCCTGGCCTTCCAGCGCGATGTGCGGGCGATCCGCGATAAGGTGGAGGCCCGACAGGAGGAGGTCGAAGGGCTGCTGAAAGAGAAGAAGCGGTTGAAGGGTGAGGTCAACGTGGGACGCGCGTTGCTGGACTACGTGGATCGCATCGAGGAGCTGGAGAGGAAACTCATGATCGGAGACGCCGCTCGCCAACCTCGCGCCGACTCCTCCGCTACCGAGGTCGAGTCGGACTCGGACTTTCTGGACAGCGCCAGCGATGATAGTGAGGAGGAACTAACAAACGGGGCTTCGGCAACACCGCTCGTTTCGCTGAAAACGCTCGAGCACCATATCCAGAAGTATTTGTACCTGACGAGGCTGGCGGCCCGGATTGGCGAGGAACATCCCTTCATCCAAGGCCAGCGAACTCGGGCCTCGAAGATTCGATCAGCGCTGCTCCTGGATCTGAAAACGGCCCTGGACCAGGCCAGCCATGCGGGTGACAAGCGAGACAAGAGAACGATGGCTATCTTACGCCTCTACAAGATCATGGGTGAGGACGCCACAGCGGTGTCTGCACTGAAGAACATGAAATCCTAGATTCTCTCTCCCGAGAATAGGAGTGAAGCCACTTGTGTATAGCGTCGGCGTTGGGGAAAAGTCTTATGCTTTGGAGATATATGTCAAACAATACCATTATACACCGTGTCCTGCCTAATGAAACATATTCTGTACACTCGGGATATTCAAGAAACTATATTTATGGGCCATGCATGCTGGTGGTGTCTGGGGTTTGGTCGGACTTGAATTCGCCGTTTAAGCTGAAGCCGGGGCCATTCGTGGAGCTCAACACCTGGAGTTGTGGGTTAGCGACAGGTCCTTGACCGGAGGACTTTTTAAAATGGATGGTCGCTGACTTACCACCTCGTAGATCTCCTTAACTATGCGATCGTTCATGGCGGCGGCATCCTTCTTGATCTGCTCCAGAGCGATACGCATGTTGTCGCGCAATTGCTCCGGGGAGAAACCCAACTGGCCGATGGGAAGACGAATGACGGCAGCACGCTCTCTGTAGGTCGTACCACCACGTAGCATCTCGACCCGGGAGGCCACATCTTCAACCACCGTACCCATCTTTGCGCTGGGCATCAGACCGCGGGGACCCAGGAACCTGCCCAGGCCGGCTTTGCTCAAGGCCTCCATACTGTCCGGATGGGCGATACAGCGATCGAAGGGAATGTTGCCACCCTTCACCGCATCGAAAACCTCCTGTTCTCCGACCAGAACAGCACCCGCATCGCGAGCTTCCTTCTCCTGTCTCGAACCGGGGGGACAGATGACGGCGATTCGAGATTCCGTCGAGATCGAATGGGGCAATCGGAGCATGTTGCGGATGACGGGACCGTCTCGCTTGGACTTCAGGCGGATGTGCAGTTCATACTTGGAGACAGTGGGCTGGCGGCCGACTTCGAAGGCGCGGATATATCTGCAGTCCCCAAAGGTTGAGTGATCAGCGACTGACTTGTCTCTGGGTCGAATGACTATTCCGAGAAGCAGTTTGCACATACCTCATCGCATCGCACAGCGCAAATTGCTCCATATCCTTCAGGTTATGCTGCTTGAATTCTTTGTTCGTGGCCTTCTTGCCCTTGACCTTGGCCTTGTCCTTGTTGCTCTTGTAGCCCTGGCTCTTGACTCTTTTCACGCTTGCCTTGCTAGCCCATCGCGTCTGCTGAAAAGTGGAAACGACCGAAGCCAAGGGGCCAGGTCGCAGGGCAGATCGACAGGAAGAGACCAATCCCCGTGCCGCAGTGGGCAGCAGTGAGTGCAAGGAAGACATGGCAGCAGGCGTGTTTGACCCCGGATTCTGAATGAACAAAACGCCCAATGCCAAATGGGAAAGCCGATGTTTTTTGGCCGCCGACGGGAACTCGAGCAAGTTCCGAGTCCGGGCGGCCCTGGAAAGGCGGAGAAACAATACCGCCGGCGGAATCCCCATTGAGTCAAGAAAAGTGCCCCTCTCCGCCCCATCCCGGCTTCTACTTCTTCACTTCTTTCCATCATCCCAATTCTTTTCTCACGAAGAAGCGAAGAAGAGAGATGTCGCAGTTTCAGCTGACTCTGGCCACTCGCGCCAACCCGGCCGCTTTGCTACCTGTCCTTCTGGTTGCCACTTCCCTCAACCAGGAGCAGAATGTCATTGCTATCAACTACGAAGATAGCGCTGTCTTGAGCAGTGGGGACAAGGCCACCGTCGAACTCACCGGTGCTAACGGCTCGCCTGTCTATGGCTCCGATAATGCGATTAAGGAACTGCGTGCTGCTTTTCCTTTCCTGAACGCCAAGGATGAGAAGTTGGTACGTGGGCTGGATACCGTCCAATTGCACATGGTTCTACGTCTACTAACCACTGCAATGTAGGAGACCGAATGGCTCTCTCAGCTCGAGACTTTCACCACTCTCGACTTCAAGACCCTCGAGCCTCAGCTCCAGCGCCTGAACAACCACTTCCTCCTGCGCTCTTTCGTCGCTGGTTACTCGCTCTCGACCGCCGACCTCGCCATCTGGGGTGCTCTCCGGGCCAACAGGGTTGCCATCTCCCCTGTGCGCAAGGGTGCTCTGGTCAGCCTGACCCGTTGGTTCAACTTCATCGACGAGCTCTGCCCCTGGGCCGCCACTGCCCTCGAGTCCATGAACGCCGTCGCCAAGGAGAAGAAGACCGCCAAGGCCAAGGAGGGAGCCAGCTACGACATCAACCTCCTCAACACTGATAAGGGTGTGGTGACTCGCTTCCCCCCTGAGCCCTCTGGATACCTCCACATCGGACACGCCAAGGCGGCTCTACTGAACGACTACTTCGCCCACGAGAAGTATGCTGGAACCCTGCTGGTTCGTTTCGATGACACCAACCCCTCGAACGAGAAGCTGGAATTCCAGGATGCCATCATCGAGGATTTGGCCCTCATGGGAATCAAGCCGGACAGGCTGAGCTACACCAGTGACTACTTTGACGAGCTCTACGAGTACGCTATCCGCATCATCAAGGAGGGACATGCCTATGCCGATGATACCGACAAGGAGACCATGGCCGAACAAAGAATGGTCGGCGAGCCCAGCAAGCGCCGTGACGCATCGGTCGAAGAGAGTCTTGCTCGCTTCGAGGAGATGAAGCAGGGAACCCCCGAGGGACTGCGGTGGTGCATTCGGGCCAAGATCTCGTATGACGCTCCCAACAAGACGCTTCGTGACCCCGTCATCTACCGATGCAACGTCGCGGAGCACCACCGAACTGGCTCCAAGTGGAAGATCTATCCTACCTACGACTTCGCATGCCCGATCGTTGATTCCAAGGAGGGTGTCACCCACGCCCTGAGAACCATTGAGTACCGTGACCGCAATGCCCAGTACCAGTGGTTCCTGGACACCCTCAAGCTTCGCCATGTGCAGGTCTGGGACTTCGCCCGCATGAACTTCGTGCGGACCCTGCTGTCCAAGAGAAAGCTCACCAAGCTGGTCGAGTCCGGCGCTGTCTGGGGCTGGGATGACCCGCGCTTCCCCACTATCCGGGGTATCCGTCGTCGCGGCATGACGATCCCGGCTCTGCGCGAGTTCATCCTGAAGCAGGGCCCCAGCAAGAACATCGTGAACCTGGACTGGACCCTCTTCTGGGCGACCAACAAGAAGTACATCGACCCCGTTGCTCCGCGCCACACTGCGCTGTTCAAGAACCAGCTGGTCAAGGCCAAGCTGAACGGCGCGCCTGCCGCGTACACCGAGGACAAGCCCAAGCACGCCAAGAACCCGGCGATCGGCACCAAGAAGGTGACCTTCAGCGGCTCGATCCTGTTCGACCAGGAGGACGCCAAGACCTTCAAGCAGGACGAGGAGATCACGCTGATGGCGTGGGGCAACGCGATCGTGCGCAAGATCGAGACCGACGCGGCCACGGGCGCCGTCACCGCCCTGGAGCTCGACCTCCACTTGGCGGGCGACTTCAAGAAGACGGAGAAGAAGGTGACCTGGCTCTCGGCCGACCAGGAGCTCGTCCCCGTCGAGCTGGTCGACTTCGACTTTTTGCTCAACAAGGACACCATGACCGAGGAGGACACCCTCGAGGCCGTCCTGAACCCCCACACCGAGTTCCGGGATGAGGCCGTCGCCGACGCCAACGTTGCCGACCTCAAGGAGGGCGACATCATCCAGTTCGAGCGCAAGGGCTACTACCGTCTCGACCGCCCCTACGCCCCCGGCCAGCCCGCCGTGCTGTTCAACATCCCCACCGGTAAGGCGGGCAAATAGATCCACTTCCGCTTTTCTGGAGGTATAGACGCCTATGAAGATACAACGAATAAACTTTTCGGATTTATATTGCACTAAAAGACTCGATCAAGTTTCAAGTTTCAAGGTTCTTTTGTTTCTTGTTCTTTCTTGTTCTCTCATTCCAGTTCTCCGTACGTAGACGATCACGGGCCAGTCGTAGTCGTAGTCGTATGGTCCAACCGCGTTCTGGCGGGTGCAGCTCGTCCACAAATCAAGGTGTAGGTAAGCCCTTGACCCAGAACCGAGGAACCCGAGAATCGAATCCATCATTAACCCATCCATAATCATGAGTGGGACAGGCTCAGAGTGGATGCGGCGCGGGCTCGGCTCAGGGCTGGCAACTCTGGATTAAGTTAGGTTGGTCGATGGCCCCGGGAGAACTTGATGGCAGGCTCCGTAGATCTGATTCGGCGGATAACCCTACATTGAGTACCCCTAGTAGGTAGTAGTGTATTGGTGAACTGTTTGGCTGCAATTCTGCAATTCCTGTTTGCTTATCCAATTAAAGCACCGCCACTTTGATAAGAAGAGTATACAAATAATCTGTATATACAATTGTGCTTGTCTATTGCTCCCAATCTCATCCCATGTCCAATCAAAATACTTTTATGGCCAAACCAGCCCCAGTCGCCGTAGCTTGTACTGCCGGGATATCTCAACTGGTACAATCCATGATACCATATGAAGAAGGATGGAATCTCAACCTGTTGACAACCATCGTAGTCGGGTGGGAAACAACCCGCGCGCCCCCCCGCCCCCCCCCCCTTCGTCTCTTCTCTTTTCAACCCGCGAAGATTCAGTTACCATGGCGCAGTAAACTCATGTCACCTAGAATGAGAAAAGTTATGCAAAACCGCCAAGTCTAGTCAAAGACCCTGTGGAAATAAGAATGAGAATGACAAGGAGATGGTGCAGTACGGTAAGGTAAGTGATAACACACAACACCCTGAGGAACGGAGCCTGGCGAGCGGTGATTACGACCGCAAGTAAGTAAGCAATTGGAACTGGGGACCCTCTCCTCCCCCCTCCCGCCACGCTTCAGTTTACGTACAACTGACATGCAAACTGACGAAAAGCACGGAGTGCCCAAGACGAGCATGACCAGGACCAGAACGGGTGAGGGACAAAAATTTGAAGCATCCATCATCATCGGGCGACTCCCGCGGATGTTGAATTTCAGTCCATGATGGTTGGCGACAGACATACCTTTTCCCGTAGTGGTTTCTCAAAGATCTACCTTAAGTGGTTGGATGGTTGGGACGAGATTTTGTGTCTAAGCCGCGGACAACACATGCAAATGGCGCATTCAAGCCATATCCTCCAGTCAATCAGTGAGGCTAATGCTTACTCTTACCGGGATTCTTTTAAACAGAACCCCTTCCCCCCCCCCCCCCCCTTCCCTTCCGGCTTGATTGTGGTCGGGCAAAGGACAAATCCGCAGCAGCACGAGGCGATGGAATATGTTTTATGAGTACGCGCCACTGGTCCTAGACATACAAATGAATACGATACAGGATCATAATCTACTTGCCTTGCTCCGGCCATGCCTTCTGTTAGTTGGTCGCTCCTGATTTATACAATCCTTTTTTTCTTTGAACATTTGGGAGGATAGAGTACACAGCACTTTCCTCATGCAGTTATTGCTGGAGTATGGCGATGAGGGCATGTCAGCCTTCAGCAATATCCTGCACCTTCGGAGTGAGTCACAGTCAGAATGGTGCAAAAGTTGCCAGTCAGTCTCAGATGGCACTTTGCATACGTGCTTATGGTCAGAAAACCTGTAGACGGACCATGCATCTCCCTGTTAATTGGTTGCCTCATTTGTCTTATGACCGGGGCGTCTGGCAGGGTGTCTGGCAGGGGAGAGAAGAGCAGACCCCAAGCAGCCCGAAGTCTCAAGCAGGCGAAAGAAAGCCTAACGGGGTCGTCGTCCGTGCGATGGTGGCAGATAGCCTATAAAAAGCGACGGTTCCCCCTTGTCCTCGAGTCTGGGGATTTTCTTCTTTATTCACCTTCCCTTCGCGAAGTGGTCCCGACACCTGTTCCTGCCCTACGGAGTACATTGTATCCGGTGAGCGAGCGGGCACTAGGACGGCAAGATGTCGGACGATGTTGGTCGAGTGCGTCTTCGTTGTCTGAAGTGCGGGGGAAAGCTTGTGTTCAGGAAGACAGTCAAGTGGCAAAACGGGAATCGGGGCCGTCCATTTTCGAAGTGTTCTAACTGTCGTGATTACGAGTGGCGAGATGGAGGAGGGCTCTGGTCTACCAACCCGCATTGCCAAGAGTGTAAGATCCCTTTGCGTCTGCAACGGTGGAAAAAAGGCTTCCAATTGTGCTGTGATTACAGGAAGCATAAGCACTTTGAGGAGATTGATGGAGAACAGGCGCATGAGCTCATAGATGCGTTCCTACGCCATGTGAGGACGTCCCTTGATCTTCTGGCGCTCGAAGAGAGAAGCCTTAGGGAGATTGGGGTCCCGCGGAGTGCTCTGGGGTGGCTTCTGAGGCAGCGCAGCTACTTGGAGGAGCAAAAGGAGCAGGCACTTGAGTGGAAGAAGTTCCTGGAAAGGAGATTTTGACCATGAGGAAGACGATCGCTGGAAGCCGCGGGGCAGTATGAAGCTCGCTCGAGTCCGAGGCAAGGCCAAAGGAGCTCTAGAGTGGCGGCGGATCGTTTTCACTGGGTATTGTCGCAAGCGTTGGGAAGGAGGACTCGCCCTGTGGCATTGATTGCACAGGTGTACCTAGGCAGATTGATTATTCTTGTGATGGGACTTGGTGGTTCAACGTTTTGTTTTTGATCGCGTTCAATACTTCACTTGTTGACATAATTTGTGTTTTTGGTACAGTACATTGATTTCTCTCGTTAGCAGGATGACTTACACTGTCACTGATTATATCAGAGCTAGTAGTTATTGAATTCTTTTTTTATTTCCAGAAGGCTTTCTATGACCCTTCCTTCCTTTCTCAGGGTAGAGAAACGTATAGTGCCCACTATGAAATCAGATACAAGGGGAACCACTACGAATAATGGAGTGTTTGTGGTCCTGTAGTCCACCTCTTAGACACATATGTCTCTCCAGGGTTGAGTTTCAGGATAGCTTATCGCGTCCATTTCGATGAAGTTGCTATTAGGGACCGATCTCGTGGATTTCGTAGAATTTCAGTCCAGCTGCTGAATTGGGGCCAAGCCTCATAAGAACCTGAAAGAGTGCATTAGGTACCTAGGACGGTACGTAGGTACCTTACCTACTGTGGATGGAAAGGACTCAGGGCTGGGATACTTCAAGTTATTTCACCTTGACCAGCCACTGCACTACCTCTCTCACAGGCTACTAGCTACAGCTACAGCTACTAGCTACTAAAGGGTTATGCAAAGAGAGGCTGGTATGGACTACGAATCGGGGGCACTGGAAGCTAGACGCAGCCTTATCTCGGAGCTACCTTATTCGACTGCGGTTAAAGGAAAATGCAGGGAGAGAGAGAGAGCCAAATTGAATAAGGTATGACGACTCATCGAACATGACCTCTTTTCTGTATAACTCACACAAAAATTATATGTTCTCATCTCAATACACAGTCCCGAAGAATAAGGGTGAGAAAAGAACCCTTATGTTTAGTGTTCAGATACAGGATATCCCCCTTCCTGGGTAGGTCACAGCCAACCGCATCGACCACCTACCAGCCCGCCAGCTCCCTCCACATCCACTTGGTCTCCTCCTCCTCCTCCTTGGAGCCGACCTCGGTCCCGGCGCCGAACTCCTGCCCCACGACGCAGACCAACCAGACGTCGTTCTTGGTGGCGTCGAGGAAGCGCTCGGTGGCCGAGTTCTTGGGGTAGATGCGGCGCCACTCGTCCCAGATGCGGTAGGCCTCGTCGCCCCAGGCGCGGAAGCTGACCTCCTCGATGATGGTGGGCGTGACGATCTCCTTTCCTCTAAACACGCCCCAGGTGACGGCGTTGACGTTGGCCGGGTTGATGTCGATGGGGTCGGGGTCTTCGGCGTTGGAGCCGGGCAGGGAGGACTCGAAGTCGCCGCGGACGTTGGTGGCGAACCAGGCCAGTTTCTCGTGGCCGTGGCGCTCGAGCAGCGGCTTGAGGATGGTGTGGTAGTCCGCGCTGGGGCAGAAGAACTCGACGAACGGTTTTTGGAACACGAACCCTTCCCCGGGCGGACCCCAGCCGAAGATCGGGTCGTCGCTGCGCACGCCGTTGATGGCCGGTTGCGAGGCCAGGGTCCACCACCCGCGCTTGTCGATCAGCTGCAGGAGTTCCGGCCGGATGATCTCCGTCTCGGCGTTGAGCGTCGTGCCGGACCCCTCCTCGGCCCCGCCTTCGCTCCACGGCACGATGTACAGCTCGCCGGACACGTGGCGCCGGAAGAGCGCGCTGATGTCGTCGCGCGTGACCGGGTACCCCCAGACTTTGTGGGCCACGGCCGGCGGGATGTGCAGGGAGGGCCCGTACCCGTCGATCTCGCCGAAGGCGGGCGAGCGCGCATCACCCCATCGTCCGTTGGGGAAGTCGTCCCACGTCGCTTCTCGTCCGAGGGCGCCGAGCCCCTCCGAGATCTGCAGCGTCGTGCTGCGATCCGGGGGCATGGCGGGCAGTCCGGCGCTGAGCGCGGTGGCTTCGTGGCTGACGGACTCTCGCGAGGATACATCCGACGGCTGCAACTTGTCGACAATGACGCGGTTGTGGGGCATAGAGCTGACCGAGGAGCGGCGGCTGGCGAGCGCGAGCGCCGGTTTTTCGAGGCGGGCGGCCGAGTATGCCGCGGAATCTTCGATGGGTTCGTCATATTCCGTGTACGGACCGATGAGGTCGCAGCGCTCGAGCAGGAACGACACCGTCTTCTCGAGGTTGAGCGTGTAGAAGTGGAAACCACGCAGGCCTGGGGTGGGGATGCTGCGGATGCCGTCGACCAGGTCGCAGACGATGTCGACACCGGCGCGCTTGACCGCGTCGTCGTCGTGCTTGATCTCTTCCAACTTGGACAAGATATGCGGGGGGATTTTGACATGGCTGAGCTTTGTCACGCGCGTGAGGATCTTGTAGCTGTGGAGGGGCATCAAGCCGGGGATGATGGGGATGGTCTTGAAGGCGCCGGATTCGTGGTTTCGTAGCATGTTCTCGAACTTGGTGTAGGCGTCAATGTCGTAGGTCAACTGAGTCATGATGAAGTCGGCGCCCGCCTGGGTCTTCTCGACCAGGTATGGCACGTCCCTGGCGGGGTCCTGGCTGTCCTGGAAGTTGTCTGCCGGATGCCCCTCGGGGTAGGCAGCCACACCGACACAGAAGTAGTCGCCGTGATGCTTGCGGATGTAGCGCACCAAGTCCACTGCAAAGGTAAAGTCCTTGTTGCTGTCGTCCTCGCCGTGCATGTTGTATTCCTCGCTGCGGGGCGGGTCGCCACGGAGGGCGAGGATGTTCCTGATGCCCAGGACCTTGGCTTCCTCCAGCGCCTGGTCCACCAGGGCGCGGCTCATGTTCGTGCAAGTCAAGTGTAAGCATGTGGTCAACTGCAGTTGGCGCTGACAGATCTCGGCCAGTTCCAGGGACCTTTGCGCGGTACTTCCTCCAGCGCCCCAGGTGACCGTGACGAACAAGGGACGAAGGGCCTGGGCCATACGCTCCAGACGGGCTTGAAGGTTGGCGAAACCCTAATGGCGAATCCATGAACAATCAGTATATATGGCTTGGGTTGGAGTCATCTTGCGGTGCGGGGAGAGGGAAAGAAAAGCCCCACCATCTTGGTCTTGGGAGGGAAGAACTCCAGCGAAAAGTAATTCGCATCGGGCGGCAAAGCCGCGATCTTATCGGTAATCTTCTCCATGGTGAAGCCCGGCTCTTCTGCGAGATCTAGTAGGAGACGATGGCGAGAGAAGGAGGGAGAAGTGACCGAGGAGAAGAAGACGCAAGAGAAGAAAGGCGGCGGTGGGGAAGAAGATCTGCTTCTGGCGCGGACTCTGAGGGGCCCTCCGGAAGAGGCAAAATGACGAACTGCCGATCTGGTCGGGCGACCCCATTTCATCTTTTGCCCAGTTCTGTACTTGTTCATACATTCACTAATTGTACATGCAATCACTCATCCTGACTGTTTGGTGTGGCACATTCGTCAAAGCATGCGTTCTTTGTCGTAGCCGACTGCCTGCATTAACTATGCATTCACTGACGGCCTCTGGGCTTGGCTGCTGCTTGCTCCACGAGGCAAACGGGCGTGTGAGAAACTGGTGAACCATGGAACTCTTGTCGCAATAGGTGGTAAAGCACGAGAAGGCAGACAATTGGATTACTGATGATAGAACCTAGGATATCGGACAGGGTCCATTGTTCTTAGAGGAATCCAACTATAGAGATTAATCCAATCGATTGTCAATCAAACAACCATCAGTCGTGCAAACAGGGCAAACACCAACCACCACCAGCAGCAGCAGCGTATCGCAACAACGAGGTTACTCAAGACAGATGCAGTCCACCTCAGACATACATACATACATACATACATACTCACCTTCCTGCAGCCTGTCAACCTGTCAATGTGATCAACCTAATTACCCCCCAGCTTCAAGCCAACCTTACCGATCAAGATTCCCAGACGAAACTCAACGAATCCCACCTCCCCGGTATCCCCTCACCCAACCGTCCGACGGGAATGACATTGCGATAACCCCGAAAACAAAGAGAATGGCCTCTCAACGCTCAATCTCCCGTCTCACCCACTTCTCCTCCATCGCCTCCCACCTCAAGCCCTCCTCCCGCCGGTACACCTCGACCCCGCCTTCCCCTTCTCCGCCCGCCGCCCCGAAAGACCTCCGCGCTCGCCTGCAGCGATTCAACGACCGCCTCCCCCCGTTCCTGCGCACCTACACCACGCCGCTCCTAGGCGCGCCCGCAACGCACGTCACCTCGTTCCTCATCCTGCACGAGCTCACCGCCATCGTACCTTTATTCGGGCTGGCGGCCGCTTTCCACTACGGCAACTGGCTGCCCGACCTGACCGCGAGCGAGTCCTTCCAGCAGGGCACGCAGCGGTTCCAGCGGTGGCTGCGCAAGAAGGGCTGGGTGGATGCGGATACGCAGGTGGATCTGGTCTCCCTTGAGGGTGGCGGAGAATTGACTCTTTCGGAGCGAGTGGCCGGGAACAGCCGCAGTCAGACGGAAGGCGTGCGTCTCGTGCTGGAGTTTGCGACGGCGTACACGGTGACCAAGTTTCTCCTGCCGGTGCGGATTGCGGCGAGTGTTTGGGCTACGCCGTGGTTTGCGAGGGTGGTTCTGGGGCCCTTGGGGAAGGGTGTCCGGGGGCTACTGGGGAGGAAGTAGATAGCAGTGCTGTGATATTGATGCCAGGTTCTACGCGGCGGGAATTATTTTGTATAGATGGGGATTGAATAGAGCTAGATCTGGAAATGACTTGTATTTCTCATCGGGCTTTTGGGTTTTCTAGATTGTTTCATCTAAAGAGCGCCGCCTCCCACATGCTCGAGGGTCGGTAGGCTCCGAAATGGCAAAGCTGAGATGAGAAGATTTAGGCCTTCTCGTAGATCCAGTCGAACTGGCTCTGCTTCCAGCTCTGGAGCTCCTCGGGCTTGAACCAGAGGGCAATCTCCTTCTTGGCGTTCTCGACGGAGTCGGAACCGTGGCAGACGTTGCGGCCGACATCCTGGGCAAATTGTCAGTGGTGGGTTTGGGAATGAATCCAAGGGCAAAGGGCTCTTACGATGGCGTAGTCACCACGGATGGTGCCGGGGGCGGAGGCGAGGGGGTTGGTGGCACCGAGGATGGCTGGTCGACATTGTTAGTATCGCTGTAGTAGAACGATGGGGAGAGGGAAGTCTTACTGCGGCCGGTCTTGACGGCATCACGGCCCTCCCAGACCATGGCGCAGATGGGGCCGCTCAGCATGTCTGTGTGAAAGATTAGCATGTGTTTGTTGTATCGGAACAGCCATCCAAGCTACTCACAGGAGACGAGTCCCTTGAAGAAGGGCTTGTCGCTGAGGTCAGCGTAGTGCTGCTCGAGGTGCTGCTGGGAAGGAGAGCACAGCTTCATGGCAACGAGCTTGAAGCTGCAGGACAATTAGCATGGCTGGGGAGGACAATGATCAGCATTGAGGGACACCTACCCACGGTTCTCGAAGCGAGAGAGGATGGGGCCAATGAGTCCGCGCTGGACACCATCGGGCTTGATGGCAATGAAGCTGTGTCCGGTTGTTAGCTTCGAGGTCGATGCAGATGGGCGTTGGGTCGAGGTCAAGCGTTGTCAATGTGGGTAGATAATCGACACATAGTTGACAGAGAGAACGAGACCAGTCAACGCATGAGGAAGGGGAAGGATGAGGAGCATCAACTTACGTCTGCTCGTTGGACATTTTGAAGGATGTGGATGATGACGATTCACGGAGATTCGAATGAGAGGAGGAAAAGGGAAAGGAAGCAGAGCCGGCGTGAGTTGGGCGAAAAATATAAGGAGGGACCGCAAACGCGCTGTGTGGGGCTCGACGGAAAGGGACGCAAAAGGAGGGGCACCTGGCAATGCCTTTGAGGGCCTTGTGGCCTGGAGCGGCCAGCTGAATGGCCTGACCGCCTCACCGCCTGAGGTGTCTAACCCCAACCTCCCGATCGAGTTTAGAGGCACACTAACCCCAATCCAGGGAGCTTCCGTCACGGTCATCGCCAATCTGGCCAGGCTGGAACTATTCAAGGTTCATGTTCACATGTCACTCTTATTCAAACGTCCCAGAGCCTGCCACTGCTTGATTTGACCTTCGCCTCTGGTAGATGCAGGTCCCCACCCCTAGTGACTGGTGAAGTTTATTGTTTTCAGAGATTGAGTGTCTCTGATTGCATCTTATCTGTTAAGCTCGCAACATGGCCGGCTCCCGGCCATCGTCCACCCGATGGACCCTCTTATTATCGTTGGTGATTGTCCTTGGATGTCTCATCATCCCAGGGTGTAAGTTCTCTCTCAAGGCTCTTTATGGTATCGTGCTTATGCCTAATTGCAACGTATAGTTGCCGTGAAACACGAGAGTTTCAAGACATGCTCACAATCGGGGTTCTGTAAGCGGAACCGAGCGTTCGCCGACGATGTCACCGCGAAGGGCTCAACTTGGTCCTCCCCTTACGAACTCGAACCCTCCTCTATCCAGTTCAAGGATGGACAACTGCACGGAACCGTTCTCAAATCTCTATCCGCGGTTGAAAAGGTCCGGTTGCCCCTCGTGGTCTCTTTCCTGGAGTCAGGGGTCGCACGGGTCACCGTCGACGAGGAGAAGCGCTTGAAGGGCGAAATCGAGCTTCGACACAACAGCCCGGCACGCAAGGAACGATACAATGAGGTGGAAAAATGGGCATTGGTTGGTGGCTTGGACTTGAGCAAGACCGCGACCTTGGAGCCAGAAACCGAAGCTGGAGTTACCCGGGTCTTGTACGGTCCAGACAACAAGTTCGAAGCGATCATTCACCACAACCCCTTCAAGGCGGAGTTCAAGCGGGACGGACAAACTCACGTCCAGCTGAACCACCAGGGATACTTGAACTTGGAGCATTGGCGGCCTAAGGTCGAGGCTCCGGAGGGCAGCGAACAGGAGGCTTCGGAAGACGAGAGCACCTGGTGGGAAGAGAGCTTCGGAGGTAACACGGACTCGAAGCCCAAGGGCCCCGAAAGTGTCGGATTAGATATCACCTTTCCCGGCTACAGCCATGTTTTCGGCATTCCCGAGCACGCCGACTCCATGTCTTTGAAGCAGACTCGGTAAGCGGACCTGCTACCTATATCATGAAGACGCTAACCGAATCTTAGCGGTGGTGATGGCAACCACAATGAACCTTACCGCATGTACAACTCGGATGTGTTTGAGTATGAGCTCAACAGCCCGATGACCCTTTATGGCTCCATTCCGTTCATGCAGGCTCATCGTAAGGACTCTACCGTCGGCGTCTTTTGGCTCAACGCCGCAGAGACCTGGGTGGATATTGTCAAGGCCACGTCGTCTCCAAACCCTCTCTCCCTTGGTGTGGGCGCTAAGACAGACACCCAGAGTCATTGGTTCTCGGAGTCTGGTCAGATCGACGTTTTCGTTTTCCTGGGACCGACACCGCAAGACATCAGCAAGACTTATGGTGAACTCACTGGTTTCACTCAGTTGCCTCAACATTTTGCCATCGCGTACCACCAGTGTCGCTGGAATTACATCACCGATGAGGATGTCAAAGAGGTTGATCGCAACTTTGACAAGTACCAGATCCCCTACGACATCATCTGGCTGGACCTCGAGTACACTGATGACCGGAAGTACTTCACCTGGGATCCGCTCACCTTCCCTGATCCTATCAGCATGGAGAAGCAGCTCGATGAGTCTGAGCGTAAGCTCGTGGTCTTGATCGATCCTCATATCAAGAACAAGGATGGATACGCCATCTCGGAAGAACTGAAGAGCAAGAACTTGGCCACTAGGAACAAGGACGGGGAGATCTACGATGGCTGGTGTTGGCCTGGCTCATCGAACTGGATTGATACCTTCAATCCGGCAGCCATCAAGTGGTGGATGAGCTTGTTCAAGTATGACAAGTTCAAGGGTACCCTGTCAAATGTCTTCATCTGGAATGACATGAACGAGCCATCCGTTTTCAACGGACCCGAAACCACTATGCCCAAGGACAACCTGCACCATGACAATTGGGAGCATCGCGATATCCACAACGTGCATGGTGTCACTTTGGTCAATGCCACCTACAATGCCCTGTTGGAGCGCAAGAAGGGCGAAGTCCGCCGGCCCTTCATCTTGACCCGCTCTTACTATGCCGGTGCTCAACGGATGTCAGCCATGTGGACGGGCGACAACCAGGCGACCTGGGATCACCTTGCTGCCTCGCTTCCAATGGTGTTGAACAATGGTATCGCGGGTTTCCCCTTTGCCGGTGCTGATGTCGGTGGCTTCTTCCAGAACCCAAGCAAGGAACTCTTGACCAGATGGTACCAGACCGGTATCTGGTATCCGTTCTTCCGCGCCCACGCTCACATTGACACTCGCAGACGTGAGCCGTATTTGATTGCTGAGCCTTTCCGGTCCATCATTGCGCAGGCCATCCGCCTGAGATACCAGCTCTTGCCTGCCTGGTATACCGCCTTCCATGAGGCTTCGGTGAACGGGATGCCGATTGTGCGGCCCCAATATTATGTTCATCCTACCGACGAAGCAGGCTTTGCCATTGATGATCAGCTTTATCTCGGCAACACGGGTCTTCTTGCCAAGCCGGTGGTGGCCGAGGATGCTACCAGTGTTGACATCTATCTTGCTGACGACGAGAAGTACTATGATTACTTCGACTATACCGTCTACCAAGGAGCAGGCAAGCGGCATACCGTGCCCGCTCCGATGGAGAAGGTACCTTTGCTGATGCAGGGCGGCCATGTCATTCCTCGCAAGGATCGCCCACGCCGCAGCAGCGGACTTATGAGGTGGGATCCCTACACTCTTGTTATTGTGCTAAACAAGGACGGCCACGCCGACGGTACCCTCTACGTTGATGATGGCGAGACGTTTGACTACGAGCGTGGCGCTTACATCCACCGTCGCTTCGCCTTCCGTGATTCTGCTCTGTCGTCCGAAGATCTCGGTGCGAAGGGTCCCAAGACGAACGAATATCTGAAGAAAATGGCTGGGGTTCGCGTGGAGCGGGTCATTGTTGTTGATCCGCCCAAGGACTGGCAGGACAAGAGCAGCGTGACGGTGATTGAGGAGAATGCCAAAGCTGCCACCACCGCCTCGATTGAATATCACGGCCAGCAAGATGGCAAGGCATCGTATGCGGTGGTCAAAAACCCCAATGTTGCCATCGGCAACTCGTGGCGGATTGAGTTTTGAGTTTTGGGGCGATAGACTAGCGGGTCACAATAGTATATTGAACTCCATGACCATTCTGGCAGAAGCAACAATGTCAACAAGCTCAGGTAGAATGTAGTACTCTGGCAGTACGTAGTAATGAAGAGCCAAGTGGCGAATAAGCACTCTGGGCACTGGGCGGCAGATTATATTGTTACCCGTTTGGGACGAGGCTCGATTTTTGGCGCCGATCAGTGGGGCTGAGTCAGCGGGCGCCAGGGGAAAAAAGTAAAAGGGAGGAAAGACGCATCCGGTGGTGGCTCGACTCTCGAGGGGTTGGAGATCTGACACGGCCGTTGCAATCCATCCTTTTACTCTCTTCGTTTCTTCCAGCGTGGCTTAGGGTCTCAGTGTGTTTTGTGCGCGACTCCTCTTTTGGCCGAAAGTTATAGATCATCCCATCTCCGGTCCAAACCCAATCTCCGCTCTCAACACCAGGACTCAACCGTGACACCTTTGTTCTCATACGCTTCGACGGGCTATTGAGCGCACCATGAATCTCTTATCGCAAGCCCTTGAATATGGAGCTCCTCTATTGTGCGCTTCTATGTCCGCTGTTGGCCTGACCAGATCACTGATAATGAATCTCAAACAGTATCATGACCTCGCCGGTCACCTCGTATGCGGACCAGATCCTCAGCATCCACCGCAGCCGAAGCTCGGCTGGCTTCTCCATGGACATCCCATTGATCATGCTCATTGCGTCGATTCTGAAGTAAGAGATGTCGTGGGGCAGTGACGCGACGGGGACTGACACATAATACCTAGGGTCTTCTACTGGTTCGGCGCCAAGTACTCTCTTTCGCTCCTCATCCAGGCCGTCCTCACGATCGGAGTGCAGATTATCTTGCTGAAGGTAGCCCTCGACAACCGGCCGGCCCCTGGCTTGAAGAATGGAGTGGAGCACGTCCCCTTCAGCAGCGTGGACAGCGGGCAGGGGTTCACGAGACCGTATGACTTTTGGCAGTGGCGGAGCGCGAAGCCGTATGTTTCCTTGTCCCCCCCCCCCCCCCCATTGCGATGTGGTTGCTGACCCAGCTGATTGTGTAGCTACTGGATGTTCCTCGCCTATTTCACTGTGGCCCTCGCCGTCGTTCAAGTCTTCCTTCCCCCGCTCGCCTACTCGCAGTCCTATATCGGTCTGCTGGGATACGTCGGCCTCGCGGTCGAGGCGACGCTGCCGTTGCCTCAAGTCATCAAAAACCACCAATCGCGGTCCTGCGTGGGGTTCCGGCTGTCGGTGGTTGCGGCGTGGATCCTGGGTGACATCACGAAGCTGAGCTACTTCTTCTGCAGCGCGGAGGTGATCCCCTGGTCGTTCCGGCTGTGCGCGATGTTCCAGTGCATCTGTGATTTGTATTTGGGACTGCAGTTCTGGATGTATAGTGGACCCTCGTTTGGGGCTGCGGGCAGTCCTTCTCGGGGTGCGAGTGAGGGGTGGGAGGTGGAGGAGAAGGATATTCGGATGACTTGATGCCTTTTGGGGGGGTGTATATAGATATGGCAGTTTGCTGTAGGGCTAGATTCTCAACTGGATCTCTAGACTACACAGACTGTTTTGTTGAAATTATAGATTCATTCATCAGCTGTTTTTGTTGTTTTAAAGTAGAGTGGAATCGGGACCGCTCTCCGTCCGATCGATCGCCGAGCGGGCGGCAGATGACATGCCGCTGCCGCTCAGTCCGCGGGGTCAACTCCATCCCCCACCATCCATCCTTTCGCTCTCAAGTGTTAGTCCGTTGCCTGTTCTCCGTACTGCACCGCATCGAAAGCTCCCAACCATGGCCTCCAACACAGAAACGATCCGAATTGGCTATGTGCCAGGTATGTCTACCCTTAGTATTCCAGCAAGACCATGATCACCTCTCATACATCCCAAGCCTTGCTCCTCCTGCACGAGGAAAACCAGAACCACCCCCCCCCCCCACCACCCACACCTCCCATACTTCCTACCAAGGTAACTAACAGAAAAGACAGAGCACTACCTCGGCCCGCTGCACCTGGCGCTGCGCTCTTCCGCCGCCGCCGACCTCCCGTTCGAAGTCCGGCTGGTCCCCTTCCCCTCCGGCACGGGCCACATGATCACCTCGCTCCGCGACCAGGAGATCGACCTCGCGATCGGGCTGACGGAAGGCTGGGTCGCCGGGCTGGTGGGCAAGCAGCAGGCGCCGAAGCCCGCCGCGACGGACGGCTACAAGATCGTGGGCCACTGGGTGGACACGCCGCTGCGGTGGGCGATCGTCACCGGGCGCGAGCGGGAGACGATCCGGGGCGTGGAGGATCTGAAGGGGGGGAGGGTGGGCGTGAGTCGGTTGGGAAGGTGAGCATTCTGCAACAAAAAACATGATTTCGCCTACCAAGATCGCCACGACTGACAAGTGCATGGTGTTTTTGGTGGGGTTACAGCGGCTCACACATCATGTCCTTCGTCCTCTCGCAGACCCACCACTGGTCGGAGAGGGACAGTCTCACCCCGACCATCCTGGGGCCGTTCGGGTCCCTGCGAGACGGGGTCGCCGGCGCCGACGCCGACCCGACGGCCGACTTCTTCATGTGGGAAGAATTCACGACGAAGCCGTATTTCCGGCCCACCCCCGAAAACCCGCACCCGCCGCTGAAGAAGATCGGCGAGATCTACACCCCCTGGCCGTCGTGGATGATTGTCGCGTCGACGGCGACGTTCCCCGTCGGGGAGCTGGGGCGGGATACGCGGTTGGAGAGGCTGTTTGAGGTGTTGGATCGCGGGATTGAGGAGTTTGAGGCGGATCGCGAGAGAGTGATCGCGTTGTTGGGGACCGGGGAGCTCGGGTGTACGTATGGGGAGGAGGATGCGCGCGAGTGGATGAAGGATGTGCGGTTTAGCCAGGGGACGAGGGGGGTTAAGCGCGAGGTGGTGGATGGGGTCGTGGATGTGTTGAAGGTTGCGGGGGTTATCGATGGGGAGGTGGAGAATGAGGCCGCTTTTGAGCGGGTGGTGGGGATTGCGCGGTAGATTGTTGTTGAGAATAGTAGTTTGTTTGTCCCACGGATAAGAGACCTAGTGGCATATCTCGTGAGAGTACTCCGTAGGCAGGCCGAGTCCTCCGTACCACGGAGGGAATGTCAACCCGGCGTTGATGCTGTCTTGTCCAGACCAAGTGCGGTTCCACAACCCATGTCCTGCTGTTCGACCATAAGGATCGGTGGGTAGCACAGGCAACACCATCCCTGTAGCTGCAGCCTACATACAGCCTACAGTACAGCCTCCCTCAACCCCAATATCAAATGACTCTTCATTTTGAGTATCAAAAACCCTCCCGCTCCGCAGAGACCCTAACCCCAATCCCAGCGATACAGCCATGCCACCTAGCATACCATGATCCCCCGGCCAACAGCCCAAGAGCCCAACAAGCCAACAAGCCAACAGTCCCCCAGCGCATTCCTCCCCGCCCCCTTATGTAGAGGATCCCATCCGCAACCGTCTCCCCGGAATAGAATTTAGGTTGAAAGCACGTCCGTCAGACGCAGGTACACACGCGCAGGATGTTTCAGAGGGCAGGGAGCGTTGTCCGTGCGCGGGATTCGGATTGACCTAGACAGACAGACCCGTGGACGGGGGCGGGGATGGGGGATGGGGATGAAGATGAAGATAAAGCTGTTTGCACGTTTCTGGTTCCATCCCTTTGCTTGTTTGTGTTTGTTGTGTTTGTTTTGTGGTTGTGCTACGCGGGCTGTATACTAAACCTAAACCTCGTGCTTGGTTGTATGCTCCTGCAGAAAGTATGTTTCGATCATCCTACACTTCGTCATCATCATCATCATCATCATCATCATCATCATCGGGATGGCCTTGTCAAGTGCCGTATCACACGCCCCTGCCCCTGCCTCTGCCCCTGCCCCCATCGACTGATGATACTGAGCCTTTGTGACAGTTGGGTAGGGGTATGAGCATCCCGGAGGAGGGCTCGAAGGCGTGTGATTTGATTAACGCTTGTCTTGTCTTGTCTGGCGTATTGGAACAGTCTGGGCTGCGGTTATATGTCGCCGTTTTCTGTTCTCGTGTAACGACCCCGGTCAATGATCAATGATTCTTCTGTCCCTTGCATGGTGGGCGCGTGGCTGCTGCATGACGATGAAATGGGGGGACGGGAGCAGGAACAGGAAGTAACTTAGGCAGTCAACCGGCAGACTGCGGAGAGGTGGGTTTTGCGTCATTCGTTGGGATTGTGGGGGGGTTTGTTTGGCATTGCGATGGAAGAACGCCTAAGGCTGGGCCTGGGGGGGAGCCGGATGGGGAATCAAATCGAGTTTGGCCCTGGGTTTGAGGCGGTGGGTGGTTGTGATGCGCTGTATCGTGCTGGTGATGGGGTGTGGTTATCATGGCGTGGTTGAAGCATTAGGGCTAGAGCGGTTGGACTCTCCTCTCCCTCAGCTGGATCAACCAAACTAGACATTGATAACTGCTACCTCAGAGAGCTCGACTCTCGTCTAGCAGATTATGTTCACGAAGTTAGTTGGGTTCTACCTAATCCAACCTGGCAGCATTCTTCCTCGAGGCCAGTTGCCCAGGGACTAGGGATGTGGAATGCGAACTTGGCCCCCCCGGCCTGGCTCAACTCCGCTCCCCCATCTAGCCCGATCACAGGCACGGCTACGGCTATCAATATGACAGTTCCGGCCGTCAGGGGATGCTCTCCCCCCGCCTCGTCCCACTGGCGCCTCTTTTGTCCGGCTGCGCGTGTGTCTGTCCTCGTAAGTGTCAAGAATGTGTGGATGATCCTGGCCCTGACGATCCCGGAAAGAACCACACTCTCCCCTCAAGCAAGACCATGCGATCAGAACGCATGACAGTGATAACTGGCTCTATCGGATGGGTGACCGGTTTGGGGTTGTTGGCGTTTACGTTTACGTCGTTACGGTTGACTGTCTAGAGGGGAAATGGGGTTGTTTACGTTTACATTTACGTTTACGTCGTTGAGGTTAGCTGTTTACAGGGGGTATGGGGATATAAAGTGGACGTTGCTGGCTCATCAGGCTGGATGGAAGTTGAGGTTATTCGGAAACGAGGTTCGACCAGCGACACATGAGATACTGACTTGGGTGAGGCATTGTCACCACCACCACAGGAAGCATCAGTTATACCATCTCTTTCGTCTTTGGTTGTGCAGGGATATCTGTTCAGACTCTTTCCTTCGTGTTGTCTACCTCCAGCACACCTATTCACTCGTGTGGTCGATTATCAAGAGCAACACCACACAGCATCATGCTTTTCCAGTCCATCCTCGCCTGGACAGCGGCGCTGGCTTCGCTGAGCGGAGCGTCCGCGAAACTCGATCTTTCGTCCCCGAACAATGTGGCTGTATACTGGGGTGGGTGGAGTTGATACCGTGGCAGTTGGACGTTCGAACTGACTTAGGGCTAGGCCAGAACTCGTATCGGGGGTCGGGGAACTTGGCGCAGCAGAATCTGTCCTACTATTGCGACGGTACGTTGTCCACCACTTGCCACTTGTCACTTGCCTTGCCCCATGGGACCATGGACAGAGCTAATCGCGCGCAGATCCCAACATCGACGTTCTTATCCTGGCGTTCGTGATGCGGGTGAACGGGGCGGGCGGCGTGCCCGAGTATGACTTCGCCGACACCAGCAAAGCTTGTCCGTTGTTCAACGGGACCAATCTGCCCAACTGTCCGCAGATCGGGTAAGTGGCGCTCTGCTTGCTGTTACTGGGGTGGGTGAAATCGACACTAACAAGGCCAGCAACGACATCACGACGTGCCAGCAGAAAGGCAAGACGGTGATCCTCTCCATCGGCGGGGCGACGTACAGCGAAGGCGGGTTTGCGTCGGACGCGGCGGCGCAGGCCGGCGCCGACCTGGTGTGGCAGACGTTCGGCCCGCCCCCTTCTTTATCTGGTGCATCCAAAACGCAACCGCAACCGCTCCGCCCCTTCGGCAACGCCTCGGTCGACGGCTTCGACTTCGACTTCGAGGCGACGGTCAACAAGATGGCGCCGTTCGCCAATCGGCTGCGCGCGCTCGCCGACGCCGACCCGAGCAAGCCGTACTTCCTGACCGCGGCGCCGCAGTGCCCGTACCCTGACCTGGCCGACCAGGAGATCCTCAACGGGCCCGTCGCCATCGACGCGGTCTGGGTGCAGTTCTACAACAACCCCTGCGGCCTGGCCTCCTTCCAGCCGGGCCAGGCCTCCCAGCCCGCCTTCAACTTCGCCCAGTGGGACACCTGGGCCCGCACCGTCTCGCAGAACAAGGACGTCAGGGTCCTCGTCGGTGCGCCCGCCAACACCGCCGCCGCCGGCTCCGGCTACGTCCCCATCTCGCAGCTGCAGCAGGTCATCCAGTACGCGAAGTCCTTCAAGTCGTTCGGCGGCGTCATGCTGTGGGACGTCACCCAGGCGTATGCCAATCCCGGGTACTTGAGTGGCATCCGCTCCGCGTTGACGCAGACCATGTCGAGGGTTTATCATAAGTTTCGGTATCCGGTGAGTGGGTTGGAGTAGTAGTAGCGGTGGTGGTGGTGGTGGTGGTGATTTCCCCCCGTACTTGGGGAGTTTCTTATTTTATATACAGTTCATGTACATCCTCGTGAGGGCTATATATACCAGATGACTATTTAGCTTGGATTTGATCTTGAGACTAACCGAATACCTATTTCTGTGAGGACACACTGTGTTCATTGGGAAGATGCTGTTAGGTCTATCGTAAGATACTCTTCAGTCGGTCGAGAGTGATAGATTATAGCTTCGCTTGGTGACATGTAGCCTACCTGCAATTTATGCTCGTGCTCAGGAGGGTATGGGTATGGGTATCGGATACTAGGCAGGTCATTCATCGTATCCCAGCCCTAAATACCGTATGCTTTACTTCTCCTCATCGAAAAACTCAAATCAATTACCCACTATGGTCTGCCCTGTCGGACAGCCCTATATATTAATTAAGTACTGAACAATTACCCAGCAGCAGCGCAGCATCAAACAAATCCCCCGTAGCCCGTAACCGTACTTCTTATACTCCTCCTCATCCCAATCCCAACCCAGACACCCTACTCCTTCTTCCCTCTGTCTCCTATCCTTCGCTTCTTCTCTCCCCGAATCAATCCCCCAGCAGCTTATCTCCCTTCCACCCCACCGAAATCACCCACTCGCGCTCCCGCACATCCCCAGCCCATCTACTCCAGCTCCTCCTCTTCCTTCGAGGCCGCCAACGAGAAGCGGCCCTTGGGCTTCCCGGGCTCCTCGTACTCGACCGTCAACCGCGCCAAATGGCCCAACAGATTCTCAATCTTGAGGTCCCCTTTGTCGCGCTTGGCGCGGCCCAGGTTATCGAGCCACTTGAACTTGTTCAGCATCACATACACGAGCGCGATCACGATCTCGACGCCTAACGAGTAGCCCCAGACGCGCACCACCGTCACGATATCCGTCCAGCCGTTCGTGGTCTCCACGAATTGGTCTTTCGGGATCGTCGGCATGTCCTCGTTGCTAAACCATCCAAACAGACAAAAGATTGTGGCCAGGACGTCGACCCCAAGGATTGCGGTGACTAAGTGGATGGACGGCCAGGTGTCCATGCCGCGGGTGACGAAGATGAGCCAGTTTTCGGTGAGGGCGACTTCCAAAAACAACACTTCTTGGATGGAGCCCCAGTTTTGGATGATGCCCCCGGACGGCAGGAACATCGTGCCGCGGACGACCCATGTGCCCAGGGCGAGGAGCAGGCCCAGCAGCACGGAGATGAACCAGATCTTCGGGAGTTGCCATTCCACGGGTCGCAGGTCGAAGGAGGCGTTGTCATAAGCGACGGCTACTGTTGCGAGATCGGCGAAGAGGGCCAGGAAGACGATAAGTTCGACGCGGATGCTCTCGTTTAGAATGATCATGCTCGTCACGAGGTAGATTTCCAGGTGCAGGCACAGCGCGATGCGGTACTGGATGTAGGCTTTCATGCGATGGAAGATCTGGCGCGCGACCTTAATCGAGTCGATAATCGTCGACAGGCCCGGCTCGAGGAAGACGATATCCGAGGCGGACTGGGCGGCCTCGGACGCGCCTTCGACCGCAATGCCGCAGTCGGCTTTTTTCAGGGACGGCGCGTCGTTGACCCCGTCGCCTGTCATCGCCGTCAGGTGGCCCCGGTCCTGCAGCATCTGCACCACTTGGTATTTGTGCTCGGGGAACACCTCGGCGAAGCCGTCGGCTTTCTCGACCAGGTCGCCTGCCATGGCTCCGCTGAGCCCGCCGTGGATCAGCTTGTCCGAGTTGTACACCTTGGTTCCCAGGGCGAGCATCTTGCACGTCTCCTTGGCTATCGCGATCGCGTCGCCCGTCAGCATCTTGACGCTGATGCCTAGATTTTGCGCCTCCGTGATCGTCTGCGCCGTGTCTTCGCGCGGCGGGTCGAACATCGGCAGCATCCCCAGGAGCGTCCAATCTTCACCCTCCTTCTGTACGGCGACGCCCAGCGAGCGGAACCCGCGGTGCGCGAATTCCTGCGCCTTGGTCTTGTAGTGGTCCGCTGTCTCCTTGGAGCAGTTAGTAAGCTGGAGCACCGCCTTCGGTGCGCCCTTGGTGCACGTGTACCGGGTGCCGTCGCAGCTGGCGATTGTCACGATGCGCTTCGACACCGGGTCGAACGGTGTGAACTTCTCCGTCTTCCAGCCGCGGCGAAGGATCTCACGGGCCTTCGGGTACTGGCGGAGCGTGAGGATGGTCACTTTGTCGATCGGGTCCAGGGATTCGATGTTGTGAGACGAGGCCAGCACCGCCACCGCGAACATCCAGTCCACGTCCACGCCTTCCGCCACGTATGGCTCGCGAATGCTGAGTTTGTTCGCCGTTAGTGTGCCGGTTTTATCCGAGCAAAGGATATCAACGCCCTAGTCTTCGTCAGTGTCGCTCCGTGTTTTGCTGTTTGAGAGGATGCATACTGCTAGAGATTCGATAGCTGTCAGTTTCTGCACGATGGCCTTCTTCTTCGCCAGGTACGCGGCTCCCACGGCCATGGTCGTCGTTGTGACCACAGGCAAACCGACGGGAACACCGATGATCAGCAGAGCAAGGGTGTAGTGCAGCAGCGTCTGCTGGCCCGGCGAGGCGATGGGGATGTGGCGGAAGAAGCCACCGATCCACGCCGCCAGGATCCACGCCATGACCAGGATCAACAGCGACGTTCCGATGTTATCCATGACGATCTCGAAGTGGCCCGCGCCCTTGGCGGACAGCACCATGCTGGCGGTCTTGCCGACAAACGAGTTCCTCGCACCGGTCTGCACCACCGCATAGGCCTTGCCGCGCTTGCAGCCGGTGGTGTAGTAGATCATCCCACCCATATAGCGGTCCACGGCCAGGGACTCGCCGGTGATGGCCGAGTGATCGCAGGCCAGGATGGGGTACCCGCGCTTGGGCTTCGACTGCGGTTGGTCCTTCTCGGGGTCCTCCCCGCCGGCCTCGGCTTGCTTTCCGGGCTTCTCGGGCTCGTTGTCCTCGAGGTCGGACTCGGAGGTACTGCTGAGATCGCCTTGCTCCAGCATTCTCTTGTACTCCTCAAATCCATCGGGGTCGTTGTAGTCGCAAATCACCTTAGCGTCGCCAGGGATGACATGGCCCTCGGAAACGATAATCTCCACCGCGTGTTAGTTCTGGACTGCGTTACTGAGAGGCCAGAGAACCTACCACGTCACCTGGAACAAGCTCCCGAGCAAGAATCTCCTGCTGCTGGCCATCACGAATGACCGTTGCTCTCATGGCGATATCGCCCTTCAAACTGGCGACCACGTCCGCAGCTTGCTTTTCCTGGTACCAACCCACCGCGGCGTTCAAGCAAAGAATACCGATGATGACACCAAAGTCGATCCAGTCATCCAAACCCGCGGCAAGAAGCACGGCGAGTTCCATGACTACCTCACCAAGTCAGCTCTGCTTTTTTGGGCTAGGCAGCACAGCAACATACCATAAAGAATCGGACCCCGAAAGTAGGATAGGATCTTGGCGATGGGGTTCTCCTTCTCGGAGGTCAATTCGTTCCAGCCCGAGCGACGTCGGCGGTCCGGCACTTCGCTGCTGGACAAGCCCTGGCGGATGTCCGTGAGGAGCCACTCCTCCGGGTATCCCTGCTGCTGATCGACGTGCTTGACGAAGACCTTGCGCTTCTTCCAGGGCGCGTACCACACGCGCTTCATCTCCTCCTCGCCCTGCCCTTCGTCGCCTCGCCCACCTTCGCGATAGGTTGAGGCATACTTGACCAGTTTGCCGTACTCGTCGAGGTTGGCGTAGTCCTCCTTGTAGGAGACGCGGGAAACCCGCCGCGAGTCACGGCGCTGCTCCGAGCTCGAGGGCTGCGGTTGTGCGCCGCCGCCGCCGCCGCCGCGTTCGACGTCGAGCGTGTTGGCCGCCGTGGTTGGCGCTCCTTGCTCAGCCATGGTGTGTCTTGGATTAGATCACTTTGCCTTATGCAGCAGGGGGAGGGGAAGGTGGGGGTTACCCTCTCTCTTTCTACTTCTCTGCTGTCCTCCGTTCCGTATTACGAACCGGGAGGGAGAAGACGGCGAAAGCGAGAGAGAGCTAGAAAGAAAAGGATGAAGAAGCGAAAGCAACCGATAGGCTGGGAAAAATTCACCACAGGCCTCTTTTCCCCTACAGCACAAAGAGAAGATGCAAGAGAGAAAAGGCTTGACCAGCAGTGAGCGGCGGAAGTGCAGGGGAGCAGCGCGGACGACATCTGCGGAGAATCACCCTTGTGCAGATAATCATGCTGACGTAGTAGATTTGTCTTTTCTACAAAAAGCTCCCGGGTTGCTGCGGAATGAGAGTTCTGTGTAAGAGGCCCGGTACTGTACCTTAACCTCCCCAGGTTTACGCGGATGTGGGTGTAACAGTGGTTTGGTTTGACCGACCGCCATGCTCCCCCAACGAATGACTTTGCTGGTGCTAGGGGTATGACTCGTTGATTCGACCGCTCGGAGAGGTCTTGACGTATGAGACATGGTGCTTTCAGTGGGTGTACCGACTGAACCCGTCTGGAGAGTGCCGGGCCGAGCGGACTATTGGGGATTGTCCATTCGATGTGTGAGGTGAATTGACTTGGGGATTTCCAAGGATCGGAAGGAGTGTCGAGCTGGTAAGGAGGCGAGGAGTGATGAGGACAGTGAACTGTAGATCGGTAGACTCGGAGGGAAAGATGGGGGACGCCATGACAGCTGCCAGAGTGTGGAGTCTCATCCGCCAAGCTTTATTGGAGAGTTGGTCTGAGTGGTTGAAGAGGTGAAGAGGTGAGGTGAAGAATGAGGTGTTGACTGTGTTGACTGTGTTGACTGTGGGAGTGTAGTCTATACTTCCCACGCTTGACCGATGGGGTTTAGCGGGTTTGGCTTCGGATGCAACCCTTCCATCTAATCTACTCCATGGAAAAAGTCTTAGACGTAATCGACTCATCATGAGTTTCTTCTTCCTCTTTTTGAGATTCTTCTCATCTTACGGAAAATCATCTCAGTCTCTTCTCCTCTGACTTGTAGTTAGCCGTCCGTTCCGGATACAATGACGGCGCCCGCCCGGATAGTCCTGCAAACTTTGAATCTTGGTGGTGACGGCATGACTCCGGTCGATTGTTGTGTCTTGAGTTCGATTTGGTTTGGGGGTTCAGATTGGGATTGGACATATAGAGTGGATATGTACTGTAGATATGAAGTAGTTAGCTTATGCAGTTGATCGGTATTGAATGTAAAATGGTGGTCGTGTTCATTTCAGGGCGGAACGTATGCGGCTACCCAGATATATGCCTCCAAGGCTAGGGTTTTATGCTGAGCGAGCAACCACACTCCTCTTTATCTCTTCTGTCCGATCTCTTGCTCTTGATTCTATCTTCTTGAATGTCAGGACAGAATCGATGATAGGATGTGGTATTTCGATGTGGTGGGCTAAAAGGTCCTGGGTATTGTACTGTGTACTCTTTCACCCGCTGTTGATCTCTCAATTGTGTGGGATAAGGCTGCAATATGGGGATTTATGTATTCGGTAGATGAGATGACAGCCAATTGCTTAATTCGTCAAAAGTCGTGTAGTCTATCCATTTACACTGTGCTGAAGCTGTATGCGCAGCTTGAAGACACTGGAGGGGGCATTGGAGGGGGCTGTCGAATAGTGGGAGATGTCTTGTCTGTTGGCCAGGCTCTGCCCTATCCCTAGTATATATGTGTTTTATATGATATGGTATGCTGCTGCATTATGCATATCGTGGGATGCTGTGCTGTGCTGTGTGTGCTGTGCTATGCTGTGCTATGCTATGCTATACCAAGCTAAGCTATTCTACCGCAATGCTTCTTGAATTATTTCGTATATGCAACTTTCAGATGATATGCTCTAGTCATAGTCCGCTAGCCCTCTCCGCAAACCCGTGCTCCTCCAGCCCCTCGGCGCCCGTATCGGGCGTGGCCACGGAGGATTGCGACTCGGCGAATTTCTCCGCCGCGTCGTCGAGGCGGCCGTACACCCGGGCGTGCCGGCGGGGTTGGTTGGGGCCGGAGGCGGGGAGTTGGTAGCCTCGTAGTCTGTTCATGGGTATAGTGAGTTAGCATGGTTTGGCTTTTATGGTATATTTGAATAGGTATGTATGTATGTGAGGATTTGTTTCCGGAAGGGCACGCACCGTGGTCCTTGACCCTTCGGCTCGGGGAGCTCCGAGCTGTATGTCCGCGAGAAGGTCTGGGCATCAACATCAAAAGTGCCCCGTTCGATACTCTCGCGGATCTGAGCAAAAAAGATGTCCATGGTGTGGTGGTTGTGGATCTGCAGGAGGGACCACGCGAGCATCTCCTTGGCGGAGAGCAGATGGTGCAGGTAGGCGCGGTGGTGGTTGCGGCAGGTGTAGCATTCGCATGATTCCGAGAGCCGGCGGGTGTCGGTTTTGTGGTCGGGTGACCAGAGGTCGTAGGCTAATGGAGTGGACGTAGGAGATGATTGCGACTCCTGCTGCTGCGGCTGGAAGGTGAAGTCCAAGGCAATACCGGCGTCGGAACATACACCCACGAAAGGAATGGTGTGCAGATCCGCGCCCAGCGAGACATCGCGGAGGATATCGTGAGGGGTGGCCGGCGCGCCAAATAGCAGTCGCGGAAGGTCGCCCAGCGCCTCCGACACGGCGGAGAGCGAGGCCGACTCGTACAGCGCCAGGCCCGAGATGTACGGGCGGAGGTCATTTTCCAAATCCTCCAGATAGATGGACTGCTCCGCGTTCTCGAGCGGCAGCACCGGGGCAAAGTAGACAGCGTTCGATCGCTGCGTTGTGTCTTTGTGGTTGTACAGCTGTTCCGTGGCGTGCGTCGTGTAGGCGTGCGTCCGGTCGACCATCTTCCCGCGCCGCTTCAGTCCTGGGTTGTGGCCGCGCACTAGGTCAGCGAGGCCGACGACGATATCCGGCCGCAGGTGGCGGATGGCATCCAGGTAGTGCGTCGCCTCCAGTTGTCGGTAGCCCACCGAGGTAAGGATGGCGACCGAGTTGGGCGTGTTCGAGGGCGGGCATTTGATCGGCGGTTCGCGACGCGGGCCCATGATCAACAGCTGGTCATCGGGTTGGCAGATGAAATTGCGCAGCGCCGACTCGTTGGCTGCCGTCGGAATCGTATATGCAGGAGGGAAGGGATGCTTCGGGGTTTGTCTTTCTATGACTGATCTGCGCCCCCACGGGCATTGATGTTAGCGGTTTTCTTTTTTTCTTGGTTGGTAAATGATATTGCTCTTGGGCGGTTGACTGGCTGAAGGGGCTGGGAAACGCTCGTACAATCTTCAAGTCCAATAAAGAGACTGCCAATAGCAGTTTGATCGCGCATGATATCATGTGTTATATGCGGAACGATTCCTCGAGATGTTAGAGGGATGTAGTGCGGCGTGGAGATGGGTTTCCTGCCCGCCACGGCCAGTCTTCCCAGCCGAGGGGTCAGAATCGAGGCTGTAGTGGTGAAGTTGAGCATCTCCTGCGGTAACTGAAGGGATGATCCGGGGTCCATGACGATCAGTGCGAGGTTGTATGCGACGGAGAGTCGCTGGAGAAGGGAAAAAGTTGAGTTGGAAGTTCTGATAGAAAGAAGATTCATGTGGAAATGCGGGAAGTTGCTGGGATCCCCGCGGTCTGTCCCGATCAGGCTAAGTGTTAGATTCTCTCTGGCTGATAACCCAATCCACCCTCGATAACTGAAGCCCGCCTTCTAAACCTCCCCATGCCGATCATCTTTCACAACGAACTTCTCTGCTCACCACCAATTCTACTGTGATCTTCCCGCATAATGGAAACACCGGCTGAACGTGGTGCTTTAATTGTCGTCGAGGGCTTGGACAGGGCAGGCAAATCCAGCCAGTGCGAGTCTCTACACAAAAGGCTTCAACACAAAGGCCGTGCAGTCAAATATGTTCGATTTCCAGGTACTCCTTAGACTCTTACAACATAGGCATGGCAAACTATATCTAACCCCTGTCAAGATCGAACCACAGCCATCGGGAAGATGATCGATGGCTATCTGCGGGGTCAGTCGCAGTTGGACGACCATTCTATCCATCTTCTCTTCTCCGCAAACCGCTGGGAGCTGGCTCAAAGCATCGAGCAAGATATTGCCAATGGAGTCACCGTCATTGTGGATCGGTATTCGTACTCTGGTGCTGTGTATTCGGCCGCCAAGATGAATCCCACGCTGTCCCTGGAATGGGCATGGACGCCAGAGATTGGACTGCCTCAGCCTGACCTGTGTTTGTTCCTGAGTATCTCCCCGGAAGCAGCTGCTCAGCGTGGAGGGTTCGGTGCCGAACGCTATGAGAATGCGACCATGCAGAACCGCGTGCGCGAGTTGTTTCAGACGATCTTCCGCGTGCAACGGAGCGGGAATATCCGCACCATCGATGCGGGCAGGACATTCGAGGAAGTGGCGCAGGATGTTGAGACAAGCGTCATCGACTGCATTGCAGGCTTGGATGCAATTGGTCCTTTGAGGAAATTTGAATCGATCACCCATTGACCTCTTATTCTACCCACACTAGCGAGCAGCGGCTGGCGGTGGCGTCATTGCTCATTCTAGCGTGTATATCTCTTCGCAGTCACTGTCTTCTATAATGATCTCGGTTCTGGTCGATGTAGGCTGGGATCGTGACTCCATCAAATTTTCCGACTCAAGGTCCGCATCTAATGACTCAGTCCAGTTCTCATCTAGACTGACGTCGTCAGGGAGATCCGCTTCTCGAAGGTCAACTGCTGTACGCTCGTTGCTGGTATCATCGACGCCGACACGCCCTTGCTCTGAAGTGACCCTGGAGCCTCGCTGAGTCGCGTCCGCTTTAGTCTTCTTCCTTTTCGCTCGCGGCTTGTTCGCTCCGCAGTTGCGCAGCGTCAGCTCCTGCATCAACAGCGACCATGGAACCGTCATTCCACACCCCGGGCAAGCGCCACTGATTGGAACCAGCCGATCTGGCTCATCAGAAGTCTCTAAGAATCTTGTTGACAAACACAATAGATGACTTGTGCAATAGCAGTTATCCTGGGAGCAAACCACTACCATTTCTGCGTCTGGCACCAGCTGTGCCGCGCACACCCCACAACGACAGCTCCCCGAGTCCTCTAGAAGGAACATGGCCTTATCTATGTAGTCTTGCATATGCGTGTAATTCACTTTCATCCCAGCGACACGTTTGACCTGCGCCTGCTCCTCATCACGTGGCAAGGGCGGTCTAGCACAGTTGCCATCAACAATCACCCCAATATGATTGGGGAGAAACCCCTGCACTCGATCTGCCAGGATTCTCCAGGTCTGATGCACATCGGCCGCGAAGAAGCGCACCTTGAGGGGCCAATGCGCAAAGGGCGTAGACCGTAGAAATGTATGTAGATCCTCCAGGTGAGCGTTCATAGACCTCCGCGAACCACGGCCTTTGGGTCTGGCCCCGGCGTGGTCTGGGTGGTAGTTCGCAGTGATCTGTCTTGCCCTCTTGGGGTTCTGCCAGGCCCATCTATCGACCGGTTAGATTTGCGCGGGCATGCAGGGCATGGGGAAGGTTGCTTACTCGAATTGCAACGCGGCCACTCGGCTCGTGAACCCTTCGACGGTCAAGACCATCTCCCACGGCCGTTTGTCGTCGTGGTGTGTCCTGCGTGCACCGCCTTTGGATTCGCCATTATGCTGGGCCAGGCGTCTGGCGGGGTGTGGAGTGGAGCCGATGTATAGACAAGCGTGCTTCTTGGTGGAGCGGAGGAGATAGCAGCAGTAGTATGCTGGGATGGGCTTGGTGTGATCGAGGTCCATTTTTTTGACAGACACACGCACAAGCTGGGGTATATGACTCGGCCTACTGTAGTTTGATATCGGGGTTTATTTGAAGTGCTTCTAATTCCTACCGCAGATATTCTTGGTCTTGGTTGACGGGGATGGTAGGCTGAAAACAAAAGTCCCAGAGTCACATGACAGGAGAGTTTGGCAGAAGTAAAATTTCTCTCGAGATACTTCCTATAGTACATAGCATGCGTGAAAGGACGTAAGTCCTTAGCGACCGTAAACCACCATACACAAGCCAGAAGTAGCTCTATCAATGATCTGTATGCTGTGTAGAGTTTGTTTTTATTTGGATGTGTGTCAAGATTGATTGTGGCCTGAGGCACAAAATAGAGCCCAAGGCTGGCCTCGGCCAACATAGGGTGGTGGGCTAGCCAACATCAATCAACATTGCATGACCCGGACCAGTTCAGGTACCATCCGCACCACGAACCAAACAAAGAGTACAGCGTACACAAACCATGCTGCGGAACAAGCAGTCAAGGGTATTCCGGGACCCCCCCCCCCCAGAAAACCCTTCTTCGTTTCAGGTGTCGCATGATCAAAACCCTCCGCCTTACTAACCGAGGGACGCCAGCTGCTAAGCACTATCTATGGCGTACATCCGATGCAGCTGGAATGTCCGGATTTCTCTCGCCTACGGACCAGATGCCATGCCTACTCGTATCTCAGGGCTGTTTTCTCAAGCGAGCAAGCTATATTCCAAGGTTGAGCCATTTGCCATGATGACTGCCTCGTTGGCCACATACCAAAGGGATTTGCCATTGCAAAGGGCTGAGCCACCGATCCTCTGCCCGGTAAATGACTGCATGTGATTATCAAATAGGCATAGTATGCGGACTCGGGGCTCGACTAGCAGCTGGATCGGTAGTCCGTCCGTCTCAAGTGAGCATTGCCTGATTTTTTATCTGACCAGGAACGCGGGCCCTGGTGGGATGAAGGCCGGCCGAGTCTCCTCCATCCCACCAACTTGATGTCCACGATCCACGGTCCACGGTCCACGGTCCTCGTCGGTTGAAGCATCAACTACCGGAACCATACTGTTTGAGGTGGTCTGTTGAGCGGTGATATGGTCAAAGGTGTTTTCTCAAACCTGGTTTCTAGAAGCTTGATTCAACGACACTAGAGAGAGAGATCTGGACACTTCAGTTGTTCTTCAGGTCGATGACTGACTGACTTGGCACAATAGCATTCTGTTTGTCATGGTGGCATTCCCTCGGAAATGTGAGGGCTGGGAGGCTGGCAGGACTACATTACAAGATACAGGATACAGGATACAGGATACAAATTAGTCTAGGCCAAGGCCAAGGCTTGCTGTGTACTGTAATGTAAGTGTACTGTCAGTCAGCAGAGTACGTACAGGACAATACTTTGGGACCCTCTTTAGCACATAGGAACGTCTCTTGTTTTTTATTTATTCTCTTGTTCTGGTGGGAATCTGTAGATTCCAAGTGATTGATAGCTGGAGAAAGAGCAGGCGAACTTTACAATCCTATTATATCATCGAAGCACTTTTCTATCCATATCAAACCTATTGACCGGAACCGACCAGAGGCTCATCCTCCTATCCGAGACCGGGCAGTCCGCCTGTTTCAGTAAGTCGTTACATCACCGTTTGCGGGTTGCTGGAGAATATCTTACCATTCTTACCATACATAGACGGTAATTCATTGTAATTGAATACCCAGCCTGAGGCCGTCCGCAGTTGATGGAATTACCTCAATTGATGGATTGGATCCTGACCTTTTTTTTGACCTTTTTTGCTCTTGCAAACTCTCTTTTCCTCTCTTTTCTGGTCGGACTCGCTTGTCTCTCTCACCACCCTCCTTTTCCTCTCTCTTGCCTTGGCCTGTCAATGCACAAACATTGAGCCTGTCAAGTTTCCTGTCAAGGTAAGCAAGTCATGGGAAGAACTTCATTTTCACCCAACACTCACTTGAACTACACACGACACTACACTACACTACACTACTCTCACTAAGTCCCTACACTACTACTACTTCCGGCTACGGCTAACTTATTTGCCAATCGTCACTGCTAAGTGCTACTTGCTAAGTGCTAGCTAACTCACCTATCTTTCCATCCCTCCCATATTCAGGCTACATACTAGCTACCGTGCTGCTACCGTGCTAATAACGAGGTCTACTTGACTTCCTCCCGTCGTCAACAACTGAACCTCCCCCCAACTGCTCGACTCATACTCGGCATCAGCTTCGTTTCCTACTTCCACACTCTTTCAGTATTTTCTCCTTCTCTCTCTTCTCCTTTCTCACCTACCCCCAGCCCCCCATCAAACAAATCATTATCACTCCCTCCCGGTGGGCACGTTACCAGCTTGATCGACGTCTTGTTCCTTTTCCGAGATTCTCCACACTAACCCTCCCGGGTTCATCTCGGCCTTCCCTGGGAACATCTGCTGGCTACCCTTTCCCTTCCCACCCACTCCCCTCCCCCCATCATCAAATTATCCTCCTCCACTCTCTTTCTCGACCCTCCCTCCAGTTTTTACCCTCCCGCCCCATCTTATCATCCGATCTCAAGGATCTTCGTCCAAACCTCTGCTGACCGCCCTCCTGCTGCTGACAATCCTCTCCTTCCTCTTGGCCTTGGCCTCCATCCATGTGTTTTTCGCATCGGATGCTGGCCCCCTTCCGTCCGCGGTAAACCTACGCGCAAATTCGCCCTCCTCTCGATCCGCGCCTACGCTGTGAGAGATGGTGGCTCCGGCCTCAACAGGAGGTCCCTCCGCGGGCATTCAGCCTTCAGCGAGTCGCCAGCCTACCCGATCTTCCAGTACCCATCCTTCGCATTCTCACAATGTTCCCTTGAGCGCTCGACGGTCCGCGCCCCTCGATTTGTCCACGGTAGAGCGGCGCGGCCAGCCCAATGCCCCCCGAGAACCAACCAAGCGAGTTCGGCCTCATGGATTAGAAGAGGCACCAACCTATCGTCCGACGGAGGAGGATTTCAAGGACCCTGAAGCATACATCCGCAGAATCGCGCCGGAGGCCAGTAAATATGGAATCTGCAGAATCATTCCCCCGGAAAACTGGCAACCGCCCTTCGCTATAGACACTGAGGTATGTTCGTTGCGTGCTTTCGTTGACGCGCCCCTTGTCCCTTGACTGGGAAGAGTCGCGTGGGATAACGTGCCTCGCGAAGAGTGAAGCGGCTGACCAGATCACCCTCCAACAGCGTTTCCATTTCAAAACCCGTCGACAGGAGCTCAACTCGGTCGAAGGAGGTATGCCCCCGCGTTCAGCCACGTCTGCCGCCGGTGGAGCTCCGCAGCCCAGTTCTGACCCGGAGCCAGGGACTCGTGCAAACTTGAACTACCTCGATCAGCTAGCCAAGTTTCACAAGCAACATGGTACCAACCTCAATCGTTTCCCCAGCGTCGACAAGCGCCCCCTGGACCTGTACAAACTGAAAAAGGCAGTCGAGGTGCGTGGCGGGTTCGACTCAGTCTGCAAGATGAAGAAATGGGCGGAGATTGGTCGCGATCTAGGCTACAGTGGCAAAATCATGTCGTCCCTCTCCACATCGCTGAAAAACTCTTATCAGAGATGGTTACAGCCGTATGAGGAATATCTACGTGTGGCTAAGCCGGGGGTCCAGCAACAACTGGAGCTTGAGCATGGTGGTCCATACACGCCGTCGCCCCACCCGTCGCCTATGCCCAAGAAACCAGCTCCATTAGAAAATGGCACCCCTTCGGCAACGCCGCAGCCGATAACAAGCGCACCTGTCATTGCCTCGAGGGAGGTGGAAGCGACTCCAGAGAAACCCACTCCACCAGTTGAGCCTACACCGCCTCGGCCGATTGCTTCCGGTTTCACTGCGGTTAACACTTCCGGTGGCTTTACTGCCGTCAACCGGTCTCCGTCTTTTGTGGCGGTGAATAGCGCGCCGGCAGTGAAGCGCGAGGCTGATAATGGCTCACTCACTCCCAAGAGTGTAGCCGAACACCCGGGCAATGGTCACGGCGCTCCGCCCATGAAGCGCGCGATCAGCCACGAGAGTGGTTCTCAAACGGATAGTGGCGAGCTCGATGCCAATGGCCGTCGCAGCAAGCGTCTTCGTAAAGGTATTTGTCGCTTGCCTGCGAGTCGTTTGGTCCTAACTGACACAAACAGACGCGCCTTTGCCAACTGTCTCTGGGTCCCATATGAGTCTTCTCCGCCCTGCTCCGCCCCGTCAACGCAAGACGGACATTCGGAAAAATGGAGATGTAAGGCCTTCTCTGGTGTACGGCTGCAGAGCCTTTGCTAATGAGTCCTAGAAATGTGAAGTCTGCGGTAAATCCGAAGACCGGCCATCGATCCTGCTCTGTGATAGTTGCGATCATGGATATCACAAGTCCTGCCTCGATCCGCCTCTCACCACAACTCCCGAGTACGATTGGCATTGTCCCAAGTGTCTCGTCGGCACAGGGGAGTTTGGGTTCGAAGAAGGTGGGGTGTATTCGCTCAAACAGTTCCAAGAAAAGGCGAATACATTTAAGCAAAAGTATTTCGCGTCCAAAATGCCATTCGATCCTGTCCTCAACACTCACAGACGCGAGTCTGAAGATGATGTCGAGCGTGAATTCTGGCGCTTGGTGGAGAGCTTGACAGAAACCGTTGAAGTCGAGTATGGTGCCGATATCCATTCGACCACCCATGGAAGTGGTTTTCCTACAATTGAACGCAACCCTCTCGATCCATATTCGGTTGACCCCTGGAATCTCAACGTGTTACCATTCCATGGGGACTCGCTGTTCCGCCATATCAAGTCCGATATCTCCGGAATGACGGTTCCCTGGGTCTACGTTGGTATGTGCTTCTCGACCTTCTGTTGGCACAATGAGGATCACTACGCGTATTCGGCCAATTACCAGCACTTTGGTGCCACCAAAACCTGGTATGGCATTCCCGGGGCCGATGCGGAAGCGTTCGAAGACGCCATGCGGCAAGCAGTACCTGAACTGTTCGAAGGCCAGCCGGATCTTCTCTTCCAATTGGTTACCCTGATGCCACCCGATCAGCTCAGGAAAGCTGGTGTCAGAGTCTATGCTCTCGACCAGCGAGCTGGACAGTTTGTCATCACCTTCCCTCAGGCCTACCATGCAGGTTTCAACCATGGGTTCAATTTCAATGAAGCCGTCAATTTCGCTCCGGCTGACTGGGAGCCTTGGGGCGCCAGGGGTGTTTTGCGCCTGCAGGACTTTCGGCGACACCCGTGCTTCTCGCATGACGAGCTGCTCCTGACAGCTGCCGCCCGCGATTCGTCTATCACCACCGCCAAGTGGCTAGCACCAGCTCTGCAGCGTACTTGCGTAAGGGAATTGAATGATCGGGCCGCCTTCGCTGCACGCCATCGTGAAGCCGCTCCGCACAAATGCGCCCTGTACTCCGAGGACCCCGCAACTGGCGACTGCCAATTGAAGTTTGTTGTCGAGGAGGAAGACCTTCCCGAAGATGACTATCAATGCCATCACTGCAAGGCATATACCTATCTCGCGCAGTTCCGGTGCCGGAAGACGGGGAAAACCGTGTGTTTGCCACACGCCGAAACATACGACTGTTGCGGAGAATCACTAGCGCAACGACTACTTGGCCCGGATCACGTACTGCGTTACCGCATGAGCGACGAGACCCTGAAGGCCGTGGTGTCGAAAGTCCAGGAACGCGCCAGGATCCCAGAGGCATGGGGGGAGAAACTCGACAAGATCCTAGAAGACGAGCCCAAACCCCAGTTGAAGGTCCTCCATAACCTACTAAGCGAAGGTGAGAAAATCCCATACCATCTGCCTGGTCTCCCAGATCTCGCGGCCTTTGTCCAGCGCTGCGATAAATGGGTTGAAGAAGCAACCAATTATATTACCCGCAAGCAGCAGAACCGGAGGAAGAACGAGAAGGCGTGGCGCAAGGGTACTTCCAAGGCTGCGCAGCTGGAAGAACGTGATCGTGAAGTTCGCAGAGTAGAAAACATCTACGCCCTTCTTACAGAGGCTGATAAACTGTCGTTCGACTGTCCACAGATGGCGGCACTGGAAGAGAAGACCCGCGAGATCGAGCAATTCCGCCAGGACGTTAACGTTGCCCTCATGAACCCCCACATCCGATCGGCCCAGGAAGTCGAAGATCTGGTGGAATCCTCTCGCAATTTCAACGTGGAAATACCCGAGGTTGAAAGACTAGAGCACATCCTCCGACAACTGAAATGGAAAGAAGACGTGCGCCGCAAGCGCGACCAAAATTTGACCCTCAAGGACTGCCAGGAGCTGATTCTCGCCGGCGACCAGTTGAACTTACCAGACACCAACGACCACCTGATCTACCTCAAGGAACTCGCTCGCCTTGGTGAGGCCTGGGAAGCGAAGGCTAAAGAACTAATGGCCGTGGAATCCGTTCACTACCAGCAATTAGAGGCTCTCTCTGCGCAGGCGTCTCGCTTCCCTGTCTCCCCCGAGACCCTTGCCGCTGTAGATGCCATATTAACCAAACAACGTGAGGCGCAGAAGAGGATCCAGACACTCTATGAGAAAAGCAAGGACCCGGATTACCGGAATCGTCCCAAATACAAGGATGTCCGAGAACTAATGGAGTCCTTGGAGGGATTGAACAGTCGGCCGACCGGCGCAATTGACCTAGAGCGGGAACAAAAGCGCCATGAAGACTGGATGCGCAAAGGAAAGAAGCTTTTTGGCAAAGCCAATGCTCCCCTGCATATTCTGAAATCTCACATGGAGTATGTGGAGAAGCGGAATTCCTATTGCTTTGATCTGGAAGATCGTTGCCGGCCTCCTGTTGAGCCTGCGTCGCGAGACAACAGCCCAGATGGTCTGCTGGAGAGCAATCCCGCTCCTAGCATGTGGGGCGGGGGGAAATCACGCAAGCGAGATGTGTTCTGCATCTGCCGACACTCGGAGGCAGGCATGATGATTGAGTGCGAGGTCTGTCATGAGTGGTGAGTTCACTGTTCAATCGGTACTCTGGATGTTGTTCTAACGTTGGCCATAGGTATCATGGAAAGTGCTTGAAGATTGCCCGCGGAAAAGTCAAGGAATTCGACAAGTACACTTGCCCGATTTGCGACTGGCGACAGAAGATCCCTAGGGATGCTGCTCGTCCGAAGCTAGAGGATCTCCTCGAGTGGCAAGCCGAGATCCCTGGTCTGCCGTTCCAACCCGACGAGGAAGAGATCCTGGACAGTATCGTCAATCAAGCAACCACGTTCCGCGACTTCCTCCAGAGCTTTACGAATGCTGCCTGCACGACTACCGAGGAAGTGCCCACGCTGATCTTCTACTTGCGCAAAATCGAGGGCGCGGAAGTTTTGTTGGCGTACGAAACGAACTTCTTCCGTCAGGAGATCCACAAATGGGCGCCTGTTGCACCGGAGGCCCCGCCTATCCTGGAACAGTCACTTTCCACCCGCAAACCTCGGCCGACCAAGCAGCAGAAGATCATGGCACAACTTGGCGTGGAGCGACCCGAGGATCTTCCCCCGCATCTACGCTCCAAGCAGCCCAACCCAGTCAAACGTAAGTCCATTGATATCACTACGGGTCGGCCTACCCTGCTTCAGGCATCTCCTGGCGGCGGTGACGGTTCCAATTCGGAGTCAGGGCCTACCTTGACCATGGGCGATCCGCAGAACCCGCCGTATCCTTTCTCTGCCAGCTACACTCTCTCTGCGTCTGACTCGACGCCGGCTTTTGCGCCGGGATCCTCGGCTTTCTTGCCCCATGTCTCCTCGGCAGACTCGCCGTCGTTCCCTCCTCGATCGCCTCCTCTCCATCACTCGGGTCTGGATACGTCTCTGTTCAGCTCCCCGCGGTATACTCGGGATCATCACGACGGCCCTCCTGGGGTTGTTGACTCTCAGGATCCCTTCGACAGTAGTCCTCGGCAAAACTTGGACGATGTGTTTGCCGATCTCACTAACCAGGACACCGAAGGAGATCAGGAGGCGGAGCCCGAGCCGGAGCCCATGGAGAACACACATGCCAACGAGGCACTGGAGGTTCTTGATGTGAGCAACGGCGAGAGTCATTCCGAGCTTCCGGATGACGAGTCTAGTGATGATAAAGTCAATGGCCACGTGGATGTGGACGACATCGAATAAGCGCGCTTTTCCCCCCTCTTCTTCCTCTCTTCTCTCTTCCTTGTTAGATCCCTTGACCTTGCATTCAGGCATTCGGCGGCGTTCCGAAGTTTTCATCTGGTGGTTTTCTGTGTGTGGTTCATGAATGAGTAACGGTGTTGACGTTTCTGGGGTTTGATTTCGAGTACTACGGTGCTTTAATACTTTTTGTTATGGACTCGGTGTATTAAAAGGACCAGGCGAGCAGGGTCTCATCCATGTGTTGTTTGTTTCGTGTTTGTTATTCATGGCCTGAGCGCCCGATGTACAATGTCATCTTCCTATCTCTTCATGATATTATCATTTTCTAGTCTTGTATACCCGTGCTTGTTCGTATACCGTGCTAGTTCATCGTATGACCCGTGTATCTAATCCAGGTCTTGGTCCAGGCTACATAACGCCACAACAGTCCACCACTCTTCAGGACTAGGTCAATCACTCAGCATCAGCATACGCACTCAACGCCGACTGGCCCCCAGTATGTATGAACAGCACATTCACCGCGTCGCCGGGCTCCTCCGCGAGCTTCCCAGGCCCAGTTTCAGACTTTCCCCTCCCCCTCCGCCGCCGCCAATCCTCCTCCAACTCGCCCGACCCCACCCAATGCATCATCGCCCGCGCCACCTTGGCCGTGTACACGGGGTCGAGGACGACGGCCTCCGTGCGCGCCACCACGTCCATGGCCTGCTTGGTCTCCGCATCCAGCACCCCGTACCCGGCACCCACGAACCGCTCCTCGAGCGTCACATCCGCCGCCGTGATCTCACGTTGCGGATCATCCAGCCCAATCAACCCGGCCGCCTGCCGCGCGAACCGCAGCACGCGCTCCTCGTGGTAGGCTTTGGGGCTGGTGGGCGACGTGAGCACGCCGATGATCTTGCGGGGTGGGCGGTGCTGTTGCTGCTGCCGTGCTGCTGCTGCTGCTGCGGTTGTTTGTGATTGTTGTCCCTCTACCTTCTCGAGTAGCTTGAACCCCGCGATCAATCCGCCCAGGGTACTTCCGCTGCCGCAGGCGACGAAGATATAGTCGTACCGTGACTTCGGCCAAGATTGGGCGTGCTGTGGAGCATCTCCCTCCTGCGCGGCAATCTCAAACGCACAACGCGCATACCCCAATCCGCCGAGGGGGTGCAGGCTGGCTCCCGAGGGGATCCAGTAGGGGATCTTGCCCTCGCGGGTGCGGAGGGTGTGTATGATTGATGCGATGGGGTCGTTGTCGTCGGCGTTTGAGTCTTCCTTCTTGGCCTGGGGGTTTGGGAGGGCAGCCACATTCGCCGAGTCGAGCAGTCTGACGTCTGCGCCGAGGAGCTTCGCGAGCTGGACGTTGCCGGTGCGCGCGAAGGCGCGCGGGTCCGGCGCGGTGCGCCATCCGCCGCCGGTGGTTTTGTGGAGGCACAGCACGGCGGAGAGGTTGAGGTGGGTGGCTAGGGCGGCGACTTGAACGGTGTGGTTGCTTTGGAGGGCGCCTTCTGTTATTAGGGTTGGTTTTTGAGGAGTGGTGGTGGTGGTGGTGGGGCTTGATGATGGCGGTGGTGCCGGTGCACATGCACTCCCCCGCTCAGGGCTGGGGCCCAGTCCCCCGTATTGCGGGGTGGGCGAGAGGATGTCTGGGATGAGGTATTCGAGTTTGCGGTATTTGTTGCCGGAGCAGGCCAGTGGGGAGGCTTGGTCTTCGCGTTTGGCGTGCAGGGTTATTTGGGTTTGAGGTCGGGGGTTGGGGAGGAGGTGTTTGGTTAGGGCGGGGAGGGGGTGGATTGGGGATGGGTGGGGGTAGAGGAGGGAATGGCGCGGGATTTGGGCGAATGCTGGGGGGAGGGTTAAGGGTGCCATTGTTTGAGGATTGATTGATGGATGTGTTTTTGAGGTGGTGAGGCTGAGAGGTGAGAGGGTAGTTAGTATATAGTGGATGTCTGCGGGGTCTCCGTCTGCGGGTTTCCACGTAGAACTTAGGGCTGCGCTTTCCCAGGAAACTGAAAGAAAGGGGCTTCCGGGGGTTCTCCCCCGGGAATGGACAGGAGGAGGATTGAAGTGGGAGTAGTGGGATTGGGATAGTTTGTAGTTGTTGGAGAGGAGTGTACATCGTGTGTTAAAGGATGGGCACGATAGCGGTGAGATTCTGCCGCGATGATGTCTTAATGGCGATCCAGTCGGTGAGGGGAGAAACTTCTTGATATCGACATCGACGACGAGCTTCGTTCTTACGCTGCCAAGTCAACGCCCACCCAAAGCTCACCATGCCAGCCCTCGATCGGAGTCTCTTCAGATTCCTCGCTCAATCCCTGCAAACACATCACCGCTTCCTCGCCGGTCGCATCACGCGCCCGGAGGAGACTCCGATCTACGTCATCGGCAACCCGTCGGCGGACGTGGACTCGATCGTCTCCGCGCTGGTGTATGCCTACTTCGCCCATCCACGCCCTCACGTTCCCCTCATCAACCTCCCCGATGTCCCCTCCGGCCCCGAACTGCGCCGTCTCCGCCCAGAATTCCTCGAAGCCCTGCACCTGGCCACACACCCCGCGGCCCCGACCGAGCAACCATGGGAGATTGAGGCGGACACCACCGCGGACCTCCTCCGCAGCCACCTGCTCACCGTCGCCGACTTCGCTGCCCACCTCGCCCAGTCCAATGCTGCTGATACCCTGTCGCTTGTCGACGCCGTCCTGGTCGATTGGAACGCGCTGCCCAACCGCTCCCCCTCCCAAAAGGGCCAAGGCACGCTCCCCGGCCTCGAGGCGATCACCTTCCAGGTCGTCGGCTGCATCGACCACCACGTCGACGAGGACTTCCTGCCGCCCATCGCGGCCGACCAGCCGTTCCTCATCCAGCCCACGGGCTCCTGTGCCTCCCTGGTAGTGAGCATGTTAGAGCGAATGGGCCGGTGGACGCCGCACCCTCTTTCCTCCTCCTCCTCCACCTCCACCACCACGCCATCCCCCCAGAACCCACCAACCGCCGACACCAGCCCGGAGGAACTAACAACCGCCGCCGCCCACGAGCACCAACTCTCCAAACTCGCCCTCGCGCCCATCCTCATCGACACAGCCAACTTCACCGCGAAGGAGAAAGTCACCGACGCCGACACGCTATCGTACAGCTTCCTCCGGGCGAAGATCAACAGCACAAACTGCCAGCAACAGGTGGGGTCCATCGCCGTGGGCATCTCCTCCGGCGAGAAGCTGTGGGACCACCACGCGTTCTACCGGCGGATCGCGACGGCCAAGGAAAACAGTCTGGAGCTGTTGACCGTGCCCGAGGTGCTGGGGAGGGATTACAAGGAGTGGGTGGAGGTTCCTTCTTCTGTTTCATCCTCCTCTGTTGCCGATGGCAGCAGCAGCAGCAGCAGCAAGGATGGGGATGACAACGCAGCGATCAAGATCGGAATCTGCTCGGTCGTCAAGTCGCTGCCCTGGGTGATGCGGAAGGCCGACTCCAACGCCTCGCCGGATCGGTTCCTGGACGAGCTGGTCGCGTTTGCGCGCCACCGCGGCCTGGATATCGTCGTGCTGATGACCGCGTTCGCGGGGCCGGCGGCGGCTGTTGCTTCTGCGTCTCCCGCGTCTCCGGGAACGTCCACGTCCCCGGGGAAGGAAGGACGGTTCCACCGCGAGATTCTCGTCGGCGTGCCCTCTTCCTCGGAGCGCAGGCCCACCGCCATCGCGGCAGCGGAGGCTTTCGTGCAGCGCGGCCGGAAGGAGCTGGGGCTGGAGACGTGGCGGGCGCTGCTGGACGAGGACGAGGCGGTCGTGCAGACGTGGTTGGACTGCATGGAGCCCGACGACAGCCACAGACACGAAAACATGTGGATGGGGGTGTGGGTGCAGGGCGATGTAACCAAGAGTCGGAAGCAGGTCGCTCCGTTGGTCAGGGAGGCGGTCCTTGCTGTCTGACGCAGGCATTATCGCTCTCGCTCTCGCTGTGCGTGGTTGGTGGTTGGTGGTTGGTGCGTTTCTTGCGGTGTATATATCCCCTGCATTTAGACCGATCTATAGTATTGTATAGCATAGTAGTATTATATAGGATAGTACAGGATAGGATAGGATAGGACAGCCTAGTATAGTATAGTCAAGCATAATATAGGATAGGACAGTATAGTATCCTACTAATTACCTAGTAAACCTCAGTTCGAATGTGAAGAAGATTCATGTGTGTGTATCTATGTGACCAGCCGTAGATCATTCAGACATCATACGATAGTACAAACAAACAGGGCACAGAAAGTACAGGTCAGGTAAGTTGAAGGAAGGTATGCAATGCGACGTTTTTTGCTTGCTTGCTTGCGTGCTTGCTTTGCGTGCTATAGAAACGGAAAGGAATCAAGACGAAACCGAGGAACGCCGCACAATGGGAAGAGTTTTGGAGAAAGGGGGAATTATGATTATATAATTCAAATTCCCATAGGAAGGGAAATAATCCCGAATGCAATGCAAAAAAAGGAGAGGAAAGGCAACAAGCACAACAGGGTGTGACTTGCCCCCTCTCCCCTCCGAGCAAGGAATAATGTACATCCTGCAGCAGTGGGACACGTGCTACAGAGTGTAGATGCAAGTGCAGTGAAACAAATGCAAGGGTGCAACAGAAAAGAAAAAAACCCAACCCTGGGGCTTCAGACGATGCGGTCTATGCTGGATGTAACCATCAAGGTAAGGAAGACAGTAAAAAAAAGGATATGCATGTTTAGTTGGGTTGCAAAGGATTCGCATGGGTAATGCAATAGCCAGGATAAAGTTACTGATGGAGGGTAAGTTGCTACGTCAGTAGCATTCCCATTCGCAGAATACACACCATCGCGCAACGCGGTCGGCGAGAACCAACCCCCGCCAGATACCTCTTTCCCCAATCTTGATGACCGTCTCCCACACGCTGCCATCCGCCGTGGCGTCCGTGGCGGAATCGGCCAGGCTGTTGGAGCTGATCATGTGGTCGGCTTTGCGCGTCAACCGCAGGATCTTGCCCGAGGGAGACTGAATGGCCAGCTTGGCCGGCTTCTCCCGCCCGGACAGCGAGCGACCGGAGGAGATGGCCGAGGTGGAGGCCGAGAACTCGTTCGAGACGGCGGAGACCGACGATCCTCCCGCGGAGCTGGACACCATGCTCAAGGCACTGGCCGGCCGCGAGTAGACGGACGGCGACACACGACCACCACTGACCCCGAGATCGCTGCCGCCCGGTTGGTAGGGGGACGAAGCGGGGTGCTGGCGCACGGCAAACACAAAGGTGTTGCTCACGGCCAGCTTGGCGCACTGCGGCTGGATGATGTATAGATCGTGCCGTTGGGCATGAGGGGTCGGATGGCGTAGCACGAAATCGTAGGGCGGATTGTCTCCCGTGTGGATGATAGGAAGGGCAAGAGCCAAGGGATGGGGGATGTCTCGGCTGGAGTGCATGAGCCCCTTCTTGCCTGCATAGATCTTGACCATGCCTTGTCCCTCATCGCCCGGTAAGACCGCCTTGACGGTGATCCGTTTCTGTCCATTGATCCAGTCAGGCTGGACGAGAGCCCGTTTGCGCACCGTCTCTCCGTTCTCGAAGCAATCGCCATCCGCATCGCAGGCGAAACCGGGCGCTTCGACTTCGGCTGCGCATTCGACGTCTGCGGGAACGAGAAGACGGATCTGCATGACCTCGAGTCCCTCGATCCGGACCACGCTGGTATCATAGTCTGGGAACTGCATGTTTAGCTTGAAGTACGGCGGGCAGGCGGCTGGAAGAGCCATCAGGACATCGGGCGAGATGGGTGGGCAGATGTGCTGCTCATGGGGTGAGAGCGGAAGGTGGGTGTAACAGATCTCTAGAGGACGCGCTAGGAAGTACCAACTCTCGGCCACGGAAGTGTTGTTGGTGACGAATAGATTCCTTTGCGGGTTGGTAGGACTGGCTAGAGAACAATCCATGATGCGCCATTCACCATCCACGAGGACTGAGTTCCACCAATGGTTCGCGCGTGCAACGCCGTCGTATTCGTGCAATTCTCCCGGGGTTTTCAAGAAGCCTCGGATGACTTCAGCATGAAGACCAACGGCGGCACACATCTCCTTGACCAAAAACGCAACCTCTTGAGGGCTTCCCCGTTTCGTCTGTAGTACGCGTTTCAGGTCAATCCCAATTTCTTCAACCGGCTCGTCCCAAGCAATCTTCTCGCTAACCCAGGTGAAGATAGCCCGCAACCGTTGAATATCACTCTTGTACGGACGACACACATACCCATGGGCAAGGCTGGCCGGATTCGTCATTGGTGGCAGACTGTTGACGAAGCGGGCGCTCTTGTCGACCAGACTGAGATTGAAGGAGCCAAAATTGTTAGGTTCGCTGATGGGCAACCCGTCAATGCTTTCGTCACCTTCCGCGGTCTCGTTGAGTTCCTCCACCGCGTAGATGACTGGGTGGTCCATCATTTGGCATCGCTCCGCTCTCTCAACCCGCTCATTGTGACTCGGAGAGCTGGCGCGGTTGACATCACGCCGCACCTGCACCCAATCTATGGCAGAGGCACTTCCTGCATCCCGAGCCGAGTCCCGGCTAGATTGCAAGGCACGGATCGGCGAGATACCTCGTCCTTTAGAGGGGGAGAAAGTACCACCGCTCTGACCAACCGCAATGCTACTCCGAGCGTTAGCTGCTCCCGTCTTCGCCGACTCGAAGATTTTCTTGAAGAATCCCGGTTTCTTGGCCTTTGGAGTAGATAGACCCCCAAGCACCCCTGCGGTCTCTTCCGGTGCAGCTTGAGCAGCAGACCATGGAATGGCGGAAGACGCGCCCTGTCGAGAGGTATTGTGGCTCGAATGATATGATATCCCTGTGAGTGGCGTCTCAGGTCTAGATACCCGAGA